TTGTTGGTATATTGGCAAATGAATCGAACTGAAGAACATAGGCTGCTCCTCATTACACTTTTTTGCCATACAAGTATGAATTTTCGGTGGTTTGAAGGCAAACGTCTCGGCAAATATTAGGCAGCCAACTTAAAGTTAACTGCTATTACAAGTTGTGAATTTAAACAACTGGACATAACTGCACACCTGCACGAGAGTTCTCCCCCTCACAGAATTGGTTGCCCCTAAAACTCACTTCTTATTGACCCAAGAAAACCTGCGCCCTTCAGTTTTTTATGTTATCCAAATTTAAAACGCACTAACACCCGTACTGATTGTGACTGACGGTGTGTTCCCTGTCACTTCCCCCTCCCTCCAGATCCGGGTGGTGAATGCATTCCGCAGCTCCATCTCCCTCTATGACGGGCAGGATAAGCCCGACTCGCGGTCATCCATCCACAACTTCATGAACCACCCCGAGTTCCGGATAGAGGACTCTGAGCCCCATATTCCCCTCATAGATGACACCGACGCCGAGGACGACGCTCCTACCAAGCGCAACTCCTCCAGCCCCCGCAACACCACGCCCACACCGCCCTCACCCACACTCTCCCACACCACCATCGCACCCACCGTCATCCCCACCACGCCGGTCTCTCCCTCCCCAAACCAGAACAATAACGCTGTGGAGAGCGGTAACCACCTCCTCCCAGAGGGCCCCAAATCAGGAACCCCCTCGGCCCCGGGGAGCCCCCTACACAGCCTGGAGACCTCCCTTTGATCTGACCCCCGCCACGTGTCTCCACCACCCGTCTACCCGCCACGAGGAGCTCCACGCAGACAACAGGAACGACGAACACTTGGAGAGAGAGGCGAAGGGCTAGAAGGAGAGCGTGTGTGAGCTGGCTGGACTCAGAACAGCAAACATTCAGAGGAATGTACGGCTTGGTGTGGATGCTTTGGTCCTCTTTTTGTTGTTCTTATTATTACCCCGCTGCAACACAAGGACTCTATCTCCACCCCTCCCTCCTTGGTCACTTTTTTTTTTTTCTCGGTAAACAAGGGGTGATTATAAACTCAGATTGAAAGTGACCTGTTTTTATTATTCTATTATTATTATTATTATTTTAATTGAGAAGGGGGGGTGCTCCTCCTGGCTTGAAGATCGTCTGTAAGAATTCTGAAAGAACCTTTACGCTTCTCTTTTATCTGAATGGTGTTGTATATTTATCTCTTTGGCCCTTGCTCATTCAAAACTTATTTCTGCTCCATTGGCTGTTAATATTTTGAGTTATTTATGTTTTTGGAAAAAGCAGGTCTGTTTACAAAGTTTGTAGATACTTTTTTTCTGTTTGTAGGCAAAAGAGCTTCCTGATGTATGATGCAGAAAACTGAGACAGAATATAAAATGAATGAGAGGATTATTTCAGATACTGCTGTATTTTCAGGAAAAAAAAGGGTGTTTCTATTGAAACTTAACTATTTTTGCCTGCAAGTTTTATTTGTTATATATTTGTAGATACATGTAGAACCTTCTAGCCAAACCGATAAACACTAAGGCTTGTATAGAAAAGAGGTCCACGGTTGGAGGAGTTTTCACAGGAGACGGGACGGGAAAGACAATTCGGGCCTCTGTCCACTAACATTGCTATAAATATTCTTCCATTTCTTCGATAGTTTTCATGTGCACAAAACCTTCTGGAGTTCTGGATTCTCTTTTCATTCATTCTTTTGTGTTCAAGGATTTCCACATGTTAAAGGTTCACTCATTAAAGGGAGTTAAGAGGATATCTGGGCCCATACTTAGCAAGCATCTCAGACTGACACCAATATCATGCTGAAACAAAGTCTTACCTCGCAGTCGGAAATGAAGTTATTAACCTCCTGCAGTCGCTTCAGCAGGAAGTAGAAGTTCTTTAGATTTGTTTTGTTTTACACACTGCACCGTAAAGTAAAATGTCTTCTTGTAGTAGTTAGATTTAAAAGATTTGATGCAGGGAAATCTCATGGGTGTGTGACTAATTTATGCATGCAAGGCTAACATTTATTTTATCCACAGCTCATAAAACACTAAAATCACCTTTTTGTTCAAAGTATTGCTGTATTCAGCAAGTGCTCCTATTTATTCTTCACTTACACTAAACTTGAATGTGCCTTGGCTACAAAAACAATTGAGACGATGCATTTCCCGCCTGCAGGTAACTCCTCAGATAAACACTGTTACTCCTACAGCTAAGCGTAGGACCAATCCGCTTCATTCTGATCGTTCTGGGCCAGTTGTGAATCATTCGCTCGCTCTGGATGCTTGGTAAATATGGTCCCTGGTCATCTTTGTTTTTTTTTGTTTTTTTAAACCAGTGCATTTCATTTTTACTTTTTGTCTATCTCAGCAAACATACCCCCCTGCCAATGTACAATATTAACATTTGTTGACTCAGGCATAGAGGAAATATTTAATTTAAAAGGAATCTAACACAAAAGAACCTTTCTAACTTCAGGCTTTGTGTATTTAGATAGCAAAAAGATGTCTTGGTTAAAAAAAAGAGCAAGTGAATTATTTTCATATTTCATCAATCTTTTGAGTCATGCCTTAGGAACAACTTAATTTAACTCCTCCGAGTTCTGGTTTGTTGACATTTAAAAACGTCAAAAACGGGGGGGAAGGCTTCTTTTTTTGGTCTCTTTGATTTGAACCCTGTCCATAAGACTCCTTTCAACATGGATTAATGTTGCTGCATTTGGTTTGTTTGTAAAATATTTTTGACACCTGATGTACTGGAAACGCTAAAGAATTGGACATGTGCATTTTTCAAGAATAAAGACTAGGCATACACTGGTATCTATCTGCACAGGGTACTTTATTTCATAGCGTTCCTTGGGGGAAACAATTTTGATACAAATCATAATAAAACGTATACCTTTGTATTTTTATGACACTACCGATGATACCTTTCATCGTACTAAACCAATTTTGGATGATTTGACACCAATCACGTTATATGGGGAGGGTTTTGGCCACTAAAATGTGTGTTGTTCTGGAATATTCATCTCAGGGTGCAATCGGTGTGAAAGAGAACAGGCCTCTTTAGTTTGTATATTACCACGCTTAATTAAATGTTTGGGACGGTGCTCGTCACCCACACAGGAGCTGGGCCAGCAGGCTGCAGATTGTCCTGCTGCCGGCTGGCCGTCTCCACCTGGAGGGCCGTGGACAGGACGTGGAGATGTTAAATCACAACGTTCTCTGAGGAAACACTTAGATTGATATCTTTTACAGATGATAAAATAGCAGCTGGGATTGCATACAAAGTGAGAAATTGAAAAGGCAAGCGGAATCCACATGAGGAGTTTGTTCTGTAGCTTCTTCCTGTAGTGGGAATGAATGTTTTTCCATCTGTTTTATGGATTATTTTTTTATCTTTTAACATTTGGAAATAAAAGTACTTCATGTCTGTTTATCTTGAGCATTTTAAATGGATATCGTGATTGGATTTACATTTGAAACTTGTCGAGTAATGTGTATGGTTTTTAAAAATAAAAAATGTATTTAGCCTAATTGCAGGGCCATGTTTTTCATTTCCCATGCAGTATTTATGGAGTGGAGTCATGCATTCAAATGTGGTCTACATTTCTGCAAGCTAACATCTCTGGCTTTTGTGAGAGTGATTTTCACACTAAAGTAACTGTTTAATTGACTCATAATCATCAGCTAATGGACAAAGCTGACAAATCACTGTTAAATATAGTGTGAATTTACGTTCCAATGTATTTTAATACGTAAACTAGAGAGCTTTGTCAGATTATTTACATTGTAAATAATGGCTGGGATTATTGAATATCTCATGTCATGTCTTTTTTTATTCAAATAATTCTGATCCAAAAAAAAAAAATATTGTAGAATTTGATTATTATAAAATATATCTAAAAAATGTGCTGATACAAAAATATAGTATAAATGTATGGAGTCCCTAAGGGGATTTATAAAATAATTTCAGACTGCCAAGTTTCTGTGTGATAATGAGAGTACATTAATTAATGTAGTTATATTTTAAAGTCCAAGCTATTTTGCAAAATATTTTGTTGGCCGTTCTCATCTGATTAATTGAACCCATATTGTATCCGTGCAGACTGCTGCGTTGGCGGATTATCCATGAGTGTAGTGTTCTCTGTGTACTGTACATCCATGAGTGTAGTGTTCTCTGTGTACTGTACATCCATGAGTGTAGTGTTCTCTGTGTACTGTACATCCATGAGTGTAGTGTTCTCTGTGTACTGTACATCCATGAGTGTAGTGCTATTTGTTAAAGTACAAGAGCACACCTATAAGGCACATGCGTGCCCGCGCACGGTTTGTTGCTTGTTGCTAACAGCCGCTGTCCATTACCCTCCTGACAGAATCTGCACTGCAGGAGTCAGCTAATCTGCATTGATCTATGATGGAGGAACATATGTACAGTGCCTGATGCACACAGCTGCTTTAGTACCTTCCCTCTGTGAAACCCTCCAGCATCAGAGGTCAAGGGAGCTGTCCACCTGCTCGCTCTGTGAGGACATATGTGTGTTTGTCAGTCTGCCAATCTTATTTTAATTAAAACACATTCACTATTATGGAGTGCGTAACTTTATTAATACATTTTAGGATTCGATTTTTTGTGAGTTTGATTTTCCTTTTCACATTGTTGCTTATTTACTCGATGTTTTATGTTATAGTCTACAGATCAATTTCATTTTAAGGGGCATTGGAATTATTAATATATGATAAAAGCTGTTACCAATAAATTCATCATCTGATTCTGCTAAAGGATTTATCGATGTATGATCTGATAAACTGAATTTAGAAACACAAAATCAGTTGTCATTGCACAGCCACACCACCAGAGGGCAGTCGACTTATCTCTGGACCTCTGCTTGTAGCCCTTTAAACAAAGATTGTGTATTGTAGAGATGAGTCACTCGGGGTCGCCTTCTTCACATGCGGTCGCGAAAACAACCACAACCCAGTGCGCTGCTAGGATAATTCAGTTTGCCTAGCAACAGAGTGAGACGTCTACACTCTTCTTCCTCTTACCGAGGTTCCTTTCCGCTCTGCAGGAATCCCTTCTGCAGTAATGGACTCTGACACCGGCCGAAGGTCTGCTAATCACAGGTCGTAACGTTTCTGTAAGTACTACAGTCTGCTACACTGTCAGCCTCTCAAAACTAACACACCGTGTTGTAGAATGAGTGAAGGGGAAGCTGTGTGTTTCCCTCTTGAGTTGGACGTTATTGAATTCCCCCCTTAAAATCGTTCATTTTAAGCTAATTTACTGTAACGTTGTATCCTTATTTGAGTGTTAGAGCTCAGTTAGCATGTTCTGTCAGCTAGTGCTGGTCCCTGAACGCCACACAATCCACATTGGATGATCGTGCTGTATAGTAATGTCAACAATATAGGTGAGAAGGCAGCCAGATCTCACCTGTATGGAGTTATATGACCTATTCCTCATTATTTTAGATTAGATTAGATCCAACTTTATTGTCATTGTCCAGAGTACAAGTACTAAGACAACGAAAGGCACTTACCGTCTAACCAGAAATGCAGAACAAGTAGTAAAGTACAGTGATATTTGTATAATACAAATATACATCTGACAGTATTTACACTATGAACAGTATAAGGAGGTATCTAGACATTATAAACAGCAGTATAGAAATTGAATATACTATAGATCAGGTCCAAAAAAGACAGTACTATACACTATAAACAGAATAAATATGAATATACTATATACTGTTATTGACATTTTTAAGTAATATGAATACATGTGAGTATGCTAATTGCTAAACCAGGTTGGCCTATTTTAGTGTAGGCCTATTCTAAATTATTCTGTGTATTTTATAGTGTTTCTTTTATTGATACTCTATGGATATCTAACTTAATTCTGTTGATATGTAAACATACACTGTTTATTTGTTGAACTCTTGTGCAATGATCTGTTAACAAGCCGTTGTAACAAACAACACTTTGGGATCAATGGTGTACATCTAATCTAATCCATACTGTTGCATGTGACCCATCCTCTCCTAGAGGCAGGAATGAGACCCCCCCACCGCTGAGCTCAACATGAAAGAGTGGTGGGTGCATGTGGGTTTGATCTGCATCCCACTGGTGGCTGTCTACCTGCACATCCCACCCCCCCACCTGTCCCCCGCCCTGCAGAAGTGGCACAGTGCGGGGGAGGTGTTCCACTTCAGAGGCAGGGAGATCTTCTACAGAGGTGAGTTTGGAATGTGTCCTCGGTCACAGTGCTGGGGTTAATGTACACACACGGGTAGTCAGGAGTGTAATGGAATATTACTTTGACCAGGGCTTCATTACGTTTTCAATTCACGATTATTATTTTAACATCCAAATCAAGTGAAAAACAGCCATTATAAGAGACATCGTACGTTTTGTCTGACTGGCTATCAGTCTAACACCCAAAGAGATACACTTTATTTTTCGGCTGTTCTAGAGCTTATAACCATAGAGATTGCCATTACATGTTCAAGTTTTCATTTTCTTTATCGACTAATTGTTCAATCTATATAAATGTCACATTGTCTTATGAGCTAAGCCGTGTGCTTTTGAGAGACCTGATCATATTCTTAGTTATAATCTTGTTTCTTTATTTTTTCACCATGACGTCCATCCCTTCCACACATGTGCTTGTCATACATGTAAATGTCTTCTCTCCCTGAACCAGATTCCTCCGGTGCTTTGGGAAGCTCTGATGTCATCATTCTGCTGCACGGCTTCCCCACCTCCAGCTTCGACTGGAACAAGGTACGCAATCAGTAGCTAGTGAAACACACCGAAGCACCGTTAAAAAGCATAGATGTCGTTTTGACGCTTGAAGAGACTTTGATTGGGTTAGCTGGACTCGTATAGAGACACTCCTTTAAAAACATTTGATTATTTCAGAGTTTGAGCTAGAAAACAAGGACCTGTTCAAATATCTATAACATTTCCATGACACAGAAATGAAAAAAGGAATCTCAATAGAAGGCAATGAAGTAATTGGAGTTCTGGCAGGCTCGTCTCATCAAACCCCCTCAAAAATGGTCTCTAGACCAGGGGTGTCAAACTCAAGGCCCGGGGGCCAAATCCAGCCCGTGACTTCATTTTCTGTGGCCCCACAAGAGCTTGCAAAGAATATAATATGTTTATTATACGGTTACATGCCGATTTACAGAAGCACGTTGCCCATAGACTACATGTCCCACAATGCATCTCAAATTTGACTTTTTTCGCAGAATTTGACATTTCTTCTTCAAAATATTCATTTTTCTCAGAATCTCACATTCTTTTCAAAATGTTACTTTTTTTTCAAAATGTCATTTCTTTTTTTTGATTTTGCCTTTTTTTCCAGAATTTGGCTTTTCTTTTTAAATCATTTTGTGACATTCTCACTTAAGAGACTTATGAAGTTATTACCCTATCCGATAATAATCCAATGCAGAGGCAATAAGGTAATATAATACATTATTTTATATATATTAAATATTTATATATGTTTTTATATAGTCTTATATAAAACTGGCGCTTTGAGTGCAACCATGATGCTAATGTAGCCCGAGATGCAATTGAGTTTGACACCCCTGCTCTAGACTGTATAGCAATTAACAAAAAAGATATGGAAGAAGTAACCTATATGTGAAAATGAAGTGGGAGGTAGAGTTTAACATTGAATCGTCTGAGAGGGATTGGCATTCTATGCTGAAAACAACATACTTTAACTAGCTCCAAAAGATGGAAGGAACTTGGATGGACATGAAACCACACATTAAAAATAAACAAATGGGAAGACAGTAGTACTGTGTGAGACAATGTGGACAGTTCCATCCCAATAACTCAGGGGTTACTCAGACTCTGGAAGACTTATGAACTTCTAAGATTCCCTGTGACCTCAGGGCCGGGCACCTCGGCTTGATTCCAGATAGTATCATTGGAAAGGAAGACCCCTCCTGGCCTGGGTCAGCGACATTGTAGAAGAGATGTATACTATGTAAAGACTGACCTTCTGTCTGAGGACTAAAGCAGAGATCTGTGAACGAGGCTGGGAGAAATGGAATATATCAAAGGAATAAGAAGGCTGTAAATGTGGAGGAGTGTGGTCCCCTGTTTAGTTTTCCAGTATCTATGTATGTATCTGTGCGTGTTATGTATTTGTCGATTACAAATAATGTGTTTGACCAGAGAGTTTTTCTGTACAGATCTGGGAGCCCCTCACTCAGCGCTTCCATCGAGTCATTGCACTAGACTTCCTGGGTTTCGGCTTTAGTGACAAGCCTGTGAGTAGTGTCAGTTCAAATGTCTCTATTTTATAGATGAAGCAATTATAAACACATGTCCTGCTTGATGATCTATAACTTCACTGACTCGTAACGTGTTTCCTCCTGCCGGACCCCCCAGAGACCCCACAAGTACTCCATCTTCGAGCAGGCCAGTGTGGTGGAGGCTCTGGCGGCTCACCTGGGTCTGAGCCACCAGAGAGTGAATGTGATGTCCCACGATTACGGAGACACCGTGGCCCTGGAGCTGCTCTACAGGTCTGTGTGTGTGCCAGGGAACGCCTTTAATAACAGGGTAGATAAAGAGCTAACCCCCCCCTCCTCTGTGTTTCTCTGCTGCTGAACAGAAGTGACCAAAACCGCACAGGTCACCTGACCTTCAACAGCCTGTGTCTCTCTAACGGAGGTACAGTCTACTGTCTTTGGGCATGTTGTAGTTAGCAGCTTTACAGCAACAAGACTGGGGCTCTTATATTCTGTAATCAGTTCTTAGGAAGGCTTCATCCACAAAGAACATCTGAATATAGATTCATCTCTCATCCTGGGTTACCTTGAAATCTTAAAGAGAATCTAAAAATTTGAATATTTCCCGTCTTTTTTAACAATGACGGAAAAATCTGAACGCAGTCCGTCTTTTTGACAGATTAGAACAAACTCGGAACAGCGCCAAAGCTTCCCCGCAGCGAGGCTCCGGTGTTATGCATGCCCTCCAAAAAGGAAATGATACCGTTTCCAAACCTAACTTTGCCGTACAAATCACTGAAATGTCTGTGAGTTTTGGCTTTACGCTGTGCGTGCTCCCGCGAGGTGACTTTTGGTATGACAAAACGGGCAATTTGAGTTAGTTTCATAGTTAAGTAAAAATAATAATGTAACCTAAATCTGTTTGCTATGTTTTGAAAGTCACACTCAGTGCTGAATGTATTATTTCCCACAGGTTTATTCCCAGAAACACATTACCCACGTTTGCTGCAGAGGGTGAGTCACCTTTGATCCTACCTTTCATCTCATGTGGAATTGTGTAATGTAAGATTTGAATGGAAATCTGGTGTGGCGGTTTGGCTCTCAAAGGTTTAACTGAGACGTTGTGTTGTCTCTCAAAGCTTCTGAAGGACTCCAGTTTCCTGGCTCCAGTTCTGACGCGTCTCACCAACTATATGCTTTTCCAAAAAGGGTAAGAGAACCAGAATTATCTTCCAAATGATGAGATTAAAATCTATGTTGTAACGGCATAAATGTTCTTGTTGAATGTTGAATGTTTTCTGTCGTCTGTCAGGATTGGAGACGTGTTCGGGCCGTACACACAGCCCACAGACGCTGAGTTCTGGGACATGTGGACGGGGCTACGCCACAACGACGGCAACTTAGTGTTGGACAGGTGTGTGTGTTTTCTTTGCATTCAAATGAATTGTTTTAGTTGCTGCTAACTCATGTAATCTTCTCCTTCTCCCAGCATTCTGCAATACATCAACCAGAGATTAAAACACAGAGAGCGGTGGGTGGGTGCGCTCACCTCCACCTTCGTTCCACGTGAGTTCAAAGTTGCTCCATGTTGATGAATGAGAGGGTGGGGGTTATAAATGAGAGGGTAGGGGTCATTTTGTGCAGCCGAAACATTTCCTTGAGATGTATTAACTCAGTTGTGTAGAGCCGTGGACGCTAAGCTGCTTAGCATGTGAGAGGAAGCTTCGTAGTCCATCTGTGATCCTGAGCTCAGGGGGGGGGGGGTGTATGTGGGAGTGTGTGAGAGTGTGTGGGTGTGTGTGCTGCTGACACAGACCTCATAGTAAATTAAGCTAAAGGCTTTAGCTAGAGTCACTGAGACAATTCTTCTGAATCATTGTAGCAGTGAGTAAATGTGAGATTCAAGTGTCGGGTGACTTTGAAAAGAATGTGGCGTCCTGCAACATATAAATCAAATCCAATTCATTATAATTTGTATATCATATAACTCATTTAGCTTTTAGACCTCATATCCAGATCTTTTATTTGCTATTCCAATTTAAACTACCTTCTTTGAAGAACTCCATGTTGTATCTCTCCTTCCTCTGAGTGTTCCTCCCTCCATCTTCTCCTCCATGACCTGTTTCCTCCCTCTTGTGTTTCAGTGCACATGATCTACGGACCCCTGGACCCGGTCAACCCTCATCCCCAGTTCATCCGTCTTTACCAGTGAGTGCCCCGACCTTTCATTCTTAATCCGTGTCTGAAAACCTCTTTACAGACACTCTGCTCTCTGTTCTTTCTTTTGGAGCTGAACAGATAGATGTTATTTAAAGACTTCCCACATATCTTGTTTGGTTACAAAATGTGGACATTTATGGGAACATTTTTATTAATCTAATGATTATGAATGAGTTCAAGTCTTTACATTTAGGTTTTGATCACAAAAATGTTAATGTTTATTTAATTATTTCAGGGTTTTTTGTAGCTTCTTTTTTGTTGGTTGCTCATTCTACTGCCTAGTTTCCAAATATGTTTTTGTAAAAAAGAAAAGAAAGTTCCAACCAAAAACCTTTAAAACTAAAACTCAACGACATTACCACTACACCAAAGAGGAATGATAGATGTGAGTGTCCCCACATTAAAACTTGTAGTCAGAAATACTCACTATTTTGGTTAAATTACATTTATTCTTTGGATGCAAATAATGAGGCAATACTTATGCACAAACAAATGTTGATATTTGCCTTTTTCTTCATGTTTTGAGCATTTTAGTAGGGAGATTAAGAAAAAAACTGATTTCAGATAAAGCTTGATTTGAACCCTAAATACTGTGGTTTCTGAGTCAGTGTCTTAAACCACTAGACCACCAATGTGTTAAATAGTTATTGTTTCTCTTAATGTCATTCACTGACACACGTGTCCTGGTCCTGCAGGAAGCTGGTCCAGAGGTCCACCATCACCATTCTGGACGAACACATCAGTCACTACCCTCAGCTGGAGGATCCCACTGGCTTCCTCAATGCATATTTCAATTTCATTCACTCGTTCTGAAAAGATACTAAATGCAATAACCTGTGATCATGAATTAATTCTCACCCTTAACAAGCCGTTTGGTATTTTCCAATGAATTTCTAAATGGTCACATGTGGTGCTGAGACCTTTTCTGATGATTACAGCCAGGAGTAATGCTTCATCAGATTGAGATTTAATCACCAGTAATTACCAGCATCAGTCCCTAAATATCAATTACTACCTAGGAGACATCAAATGTGAGCTATAAATACCATTCCTTGTACTAAATGACTATTCTGATAATGCCAGAGGTTCATTTATCGACCCTCTTTCAGCACAACACTGAAAGTTCTGTTGGGTCTGTGATTATTTCACTTTCTGTGGGACATCGTCAGTTTGTCCTTTAATTGTATGCATTCTGAATGAATTTTGATATGATTTTCTACATTTCTCCTGATGTCAATGAAAGCCGAAATGTCAACATTTTCTCCAAATAAAACTAGTTTTGTAAAAAAAAAAATGTTAATGGAACTTGATTTACTTTGACAGACAGAATTTATTGAAGATTTGACCGAAGAATGTTCTTATCGCAAACAAAACATGGGGACCAGCAGACAGTAAAAGAAAGTGAAGAAACATTTTAGTAAGTAATACAAATGTATGTTATCTTCCAGGTCGCATCGTGTCAGCATAATAATCACAATAACATTATATATTTAATCATTAGAGCTGTGGAAAGTGATGACAGTTTGTCGTGCAGAGAGGGAGGCGGGGCTTAGCCGACAGACGCCAGGATGATGTCGACGACCGTCTCGTCACTGCTGCGCACCGTCACCTGCATGGTGACCCCGTCAGCCAGGGCCAGGCGGGCGCGGACCAGCACGTCGTGACCCCCCCGAAACACACCTGAGAAGAGAGGGAGGGAGAGCTGTCAGCGGCCAATCAAATCACACCCGTCAGAACCCAGCTTACAAGGATAGTTTTAAAAATAAAATCGTGTTTGTGTTCAATAGTGTTGTGCTTTATAGAGAAGTTCTTAGGTGAGAAAGTGATGACATAATTATGAAGGTATATTATCCTTATTGAGTGATGTTAATTGAACTGAATCTTTAGTAATGGTATTTGGTTTCAAAAAACATCTTGATGTTTCATGAGAAACATAAAGGCTAAATTACAAATGTAAGAAATCAAGTCCACATCTAGCACCCACCAGCGAGGAAGAGGACATGCGAGTTCTTGTTTTCGGGAACTTTGTCGGAGCGTTCGCATGGCTGCATTCCCAGGAAGCTGATGATGTTACCCACCGCCTCTGCACACGGAAACCAAAGATGAGTCACTCAACACACTGTCATCTACTGCAAACATCTTCAATGACTAACAGGCACAGTACATATGGTTATGGCTGAAACACTGGACTCTAGTCTACAAATGTAATCTCAACTCAAAGAAAATGTCCAATATTTGACAATTGATTTGTTGTACTAAGTGCAAATTCTGACTCACCGTCCAGAGTCCGTACAGACGCCAGGGCGAAAGTCTCTTCTTTCTCAAATTCATCTCCCACTTCCTCCCACGCTGCTCCAAAGTTGGGTTTCAAAACCTTCTGAATGTGATCTGCCACCGTCACCTCCAGATCCTCCAGCTGCAGAGGAGCAGGGAAACAAGATGAATAGGATTTACATTGACAAACACACACCAAATGAAGCTCATTCTCCTTGTCGGTTTAGTTTTGTGATTACATACCACGTATTCATCATCATAACCGTCATCGTCGGGCTCTCCTGTGTTGGGGTCGCAGTCTCTGACCAGGTACTTCATAGTACAACTGAACGTACAAGACACTGTGGAAGAGGGAAACTTCTTTAATATTCTTTATCAATCTGCGACTGCTCAAAGAGCCCAAAAACCTCTCCGTGTTCCTACCGGCGGTGGGGTCGTCCTCTGGCAGGCGCACCAGGGTGTAGCAGGACCCCGGCTGACTGTAGGCCAGGTTAGCGGCGGGGGTGTAGTGAATCACCTCGTAGGACTCCGACGGCTCCATCTGCACCATGACCTGGCAGAGATCAACACAACACAATCACAACACTGCGTGGACTCTTCTCTTTGATGTGAGATCACTCAAACGAGTCATTTAAGAACAACATTTATCTAGCCAGATCTCCAGATAGATTCAAGTTAGTTGTACAAAATGTTCATGAAACAAAGCCCCCCCCTCAGCGGGTACCTTTTGCAGGAGCTGGTCGTTCAGCGTGTTTGTGCAGTCGAACTGGAACACCATGTGCCTGGCGAAGGTGTGTTTGACGGAGCGCACCACGTATTCTGTCTCAGCCTCCGTCAGCTGCACCTGCTCCGAGGACTTGAAGAGCGGGCCGAGACCCTGGAACTCTGGGATGGCCGCCAGTTGTTCTGTAAAACAAACAAAACAGTTTAAAACAATACTGTGGTTTTATGTAGAAAGGTGAGTATCAATGTCTAATTTTGAATGTGATGATGGACAGACAGTTATTGATCTTACCTTGATAAATGTCCTGGCGTGATGGGGTCAACTTATCTGGCATTTTGCTGCTGGAAATAGGGGTCATTTCTAGGAAGAATAAAAAACATAAACAGACGCTCCTTAACTATCTGATTCAGTGATAGCTTCTCATTTGAGGATTAAAAAAACCTGTGCAGTTCAGAAAAAAGCTTTGTACCTGTTTTGTGTTCTGTGAGAGGAGTGGTGGCCAGAGGGACACTCTTTATGTCGAAGGGCTTCTCTGAGGGGTCCAGAGTGTACTGGTGGAGAGACTTCTCCAGGCCGGGGATAGAGACCGACAGACCTGAGAGCAGGAGAGGAGACGTCAGCAAAAACCTCTCCAACGTATGGGTAGATATTCTGACAGGCAGCTAGTATGAACTCTCATCAACACTATCAAGACAGTGTGTGTGTGTGTGTGTGTGTGTGTGTGTGTGTGTGTGTGTGTGTGTGTGTGTACCATTAAATATGTATGCAGCGTTCAGAGCCTTCTGCTTCTGCTGCAGCACGTTGTTGTAGAAAGTAGCTCTGTCGCGCACCTCATCATCACTGTCCATCATGCACCTGTGAGAACAAACGTGTTACAGTCAGCCAACACAATTCCATTCAAACACAGAGGTATAGAACGGGATTCATTATATTTAAGAAGTCTATTACCAATACTTTAAAATATGTTTTCTTTGTATTTTCCTCAAATTAAAATAAGTACCTCTGCATGAGAACCAGGACGCTCGGCAGCAGATCATCATTCTGAGCTCCAAATTTAGCCAGAGCGCTCACAGCAGCTGAAGGTGGAGGAAGAAGCAAATGTTTAAACTGGTTAGAAAAAACCATACAAATAATGTAATCAGTATTCCATAGATGTCATGCAAGTAGCACTGACGTAGACACATGGATGTTAGAGATCAGCCACTGCCATTTTTAAAAATTGACATTCCTTAAAATGTTTCCCATTGACCCCCCCCACAGTCCCACCCTCACCTGCACGGACAGCCTCGCTCTCCAGCACCACCCTGTTGAAGATGAAGCGGATGTACTTGGAGGGCTGGGGGGTGCGGGGGCCCTCCTTGCCCAGGAGGTGCAGGATCTTTGTGGCGAGCACCGTGTGTTCGCAGTCCTCGATGAACTCACACAGGTGGGCCAGGCCCGTCTCCTTGCTCTCCGGGTTCTCCTCGATGATGCTGATGATGCAGTCCACGATGGCCCGCTTGTAATCAAAACCCCCCTGCAGAGAGAGAAGGGTCAGGCTTAAACACAACTGAAACACACACTGTAGGACTTCATCCAGTAATATGCAACACGATACACAATCTGTGGACAAATGGACTACTGATCAACACTTATGTATACTTGCTCCATAGCAAGTGTGAAGGTCAGCAGTGTAAATGATCCACTCACATCATCTCTGAGCATGTTGGACAGGAAGTTCATCATGACGCTGTGCTTCCTGGGATACTTCTGGCACAGAGCGCTGATGGCCTGCACAACAACCACCTGGAACAACAAGCATCAGGGACAGGTTAGGGACAAATACAACAACAATAACAGGTTTCAAAAAAGGTAGGTGAAGAAGAGCATCTCTTATAGGAAATGAATGCCTGGCTCTAATTTGTAGAGTATTTGATGGCAAGACTCATTGTCTATTTGTAGAGAACTACAGGATCAAACTAAGCTAAAATGTGAGACCTTGAACTCGTCAGAGATCTCGGAGACGAACGAGGAGATCTGCTTCATGAGTCGGTCCACGCTGCTCTCACTGCCCGTCTTCAGCAGAGTGGTGATGGCCAGCGTGGCGATGCTGCGGTTGGAGTCGGTGATCAGGTTCTCCAGGTCCAGGTTGCACGCAGTCACAGCTGATGGATGCTTCATGGCCACCTAGTGGACACAGGGAACATGTCAGTGTGTGTCAACACAGATGGATTATAAAAAAGCACTTTCAGGCATGCTTTATGTATGTAGCTGTGACATCAAAAGGGACCACTCTAATACTGCCCTTTTACATAATGCAATTCCTGAATAACTCAGCAATATGACAAACTATATATTCATTGAAATATCTATGCTTCCACATCATAAATAAAAGAAGCCATGTAAAGGAGGGTGTTGAGTGAAGCTGTACCTTGTTGAGGGTCCGGACTGCAGCGTACCTCAGGGCTGCTTTGGGAGAGCTGCAGAAGAGCTGCAGCACTGTGGGAAGACATCCACAGTGAGACTCATAAACACATCATTCTGTTCTGACAGCCCACTATACAGATAGAACAGTAAAAAGAGAGGACTGAGATGTGGGTAAACTCCTGACCTGACACGGCGGGGGCCAGCTCCCGGGCCGTACAGTTGGGCATGTGGACGATGGCAGAGGCCGCCTCGTACACCACCATCTCATTCTTGTTCCTCAGGCAGCTCTCGATGAAGTCAAACAACGGGCTGTCGTGCCTGGAAATAAAAAGGCAGAATTCAGTGCTGTAAAACACAACTCATTAACCCCGCAGTTTGCATCATGTTGTCCTATGGAACTACCGAGATGTTTTTGTTTGTCTACTAGAGCAAAAGGTTCTTTTTTTTCAGCCAAGGACCCATGATAGGATGGAGAATATACTGGGGACGGCCTTATTTATATCCCAGGGAATTATTTGAACACCATATTCTTCATTAAGAATTGACTTAGAATCATACATTTAGTTGTATTGCAGATTATAAGAGATCAAACATTTGTTAAATATTAGAATGTACTTTATGAAATATGAAACATTGGAAAATGTTTTATAGTTTGTTGATTTTTGACGCCTCTAGGAAATATATAATTATATTATATATCTGTTCATATCATGATCATTTAAATGGATGAATCTGAAATCTGTTCTCACCCCCCCTCCGTCTCGTCCAGCAGCTTGCTGGCGATCCTGATGAGCATGCAGTGGGCAAAGGGAGACTTGAGACCGGACTTGGTGAACTTGTTGAGCATCTTGGTGACGGCCAGGCGGTCGTTCTTCCTCAGGTGGTACAACAGGCCCAGGGCATGGTACTGGGACAAGAGACACACATACAAGCAACACTTTGAAATGTAACTGTAACAAGTTATATATAATCTGCTCCAACCGAACACACTCACATATTACTCTTCCCTCTACAAACAGATAAGTGTTCAAACTAACATGAATGACTCCTACACACCTGGACCATGACGTTGTCACTGGAAGCAGCTTCCTGAGCCTCATTCACCCAGCGCTTCACCACATCGTAGCTCATCTTCACCATGTGCTGCACACACAGAGAGAAAGGACTACATTACCCCAATGATATGACAAGTGAATCTCAATGTTATGGAACCATAAAATATCAGGAGAATCTTTGAATGTATAAGAGAAATGTAAAACAGTGCCTTGTCTTACCAGTGAGGAGACCAGGGCCGAGCTGGACACACTGGGCACCTTGTCGACAATAGCCTGCTTCATGTATCTCTCAATGGCCTGCAGCATGGTGGTCTGTGGGGAAGACAAGGAACGTTTTAATAAAATAATGCTTCACCTCTAAATGATATTCTAAATATGTATATATAATATATACAGGAGCTCTTCTGTATAGCATGAGATGACAATGTGAAGGGAGAGATGGGGCAACAGGACAGGGAAAACAAGCTGAAGCAGCACTCACATCAGTGATTCTGCAGAGGGCTCTGATAGCAGGTCCTCTGTACACATCCTCCTTCCCTGTCATGTCTTTGGTCAGGCTGAAGATATCACACAAGGAGAAAACATATTTATAACAGAGTTGTTCTCATACGTGATATAGTTTGAGATGCCTTGTCTGTTAACCAGATGAAGTACTGAAGGATAAGAGCTGAATATATCAGTATTTTCACACAGGTCATACAACGTCATGGTACAAACCTGCTAGTGACAATGATGACATCCTCAGAGATGTTGGCCATCTCTTTGATGGTCAGGTAGCACATCCTCCTCAGGGTTTGCTAAGAGAGAAAGAAAGTATGAACTTATAATAATTATACTTAAACACTACAAACTGATGCTCAAATGGAAAAGAATAATGAAGTCTCTTAGTATCCAAACCAATAATTGAATGAATGAGATCTTACGTCATTGGACTGAAAGAGCCTGGTCATCGCAAAGAAAGCCTCGGTGGCCTCTGTGGTCCCAAAGTGCTCCCCCTTAATAAAACATAGAAAAGACAAAGAGAGACTTTTGATGTTAAGCTGGGGGGACAAACAAAACTCAATACATGTCAAAACAGTAACTGTTCCTTTTAAAAGGAACTACTTTTTACCTGGTTGAGCAGGTATATGATCTTGGTGAGAATGTGGAGGCATCTCCTCGGGTTGATAGGAGTCTCATTGAAGATTCGTGCCTGAGAACACAGAGGACACCTTCATTCATTTCAATGGCAAGGATATTGTTTCTTTGGCTAATGCTTTTCGTCTTATATAACAGCAGAACACATTTTATTTGATTACTGGTTTATTTATTATTTGTGTACACAAGTAACATATGAAAACACTGAATCAAAATACAAAGAAAACGCATATAATTCAATAAATAATGTTAGGTAATTCTACAACACATTCGGACACAAGCAATAAACAATAGAGGTAGAATTATACATTTTTAAGAAGTATTATGAGGGAAAATTACCTCCTGCAACACGGCACTCTTCTCCAGATGTTGGAAAGGGTTGGACCCACTCCCTAAATGTCAGAACAGAACAGTCGGAGAGGTTGTAGTTAAAGCATTGCTGTATTGCTTTATTAAACTTAAATGAAAGAGAACACGCCGAGAGGACGCCAGTTTAAGATACATATATTCAATCCAAAATATAATAATAATCAAAGCAATACATGAAGACATATCTCCCTTGGATTAAAGAATCCCTGCAGCATGATTCACTCATCTACATTGTGAACTCATGTTCAGAGATTAAACGTCTAAAAAACAACACATCATAACATCCAGCTGACACTGTCTACACTTCAATGCTAACGCTACATTTCGCTTATCTGGTGTTAAAATAGCACGAACACATTTGAATGCAACTGATAATCGGTTTACAATTGACCTTCGATAACTGTTACATAAATATAAAATAACCTGCAAGCCACGGTTAAACGATATCTTAATACCTCCTGTTAACTTTAGCTAGCCGGCTAGCTGTTCCAGGCTAGCTCTGTTAGCTACCAACGCGCCACACACAATTTCCGTTTCACAAACGTTTTCACTCTTTACATTAATAACTGTGTGCTCTTACCTGACTCCTCGTCCTTCTTATCAAACTTTTTAATCATGTTGTCGGAATGGAGCAGACGGACGAGATGCTCTCGGTCAGAAGAGAAGCTACTTCCACGTAGCCAAAATGAAAACTCAGTTCCGGTTGAAGCGTCCACGTCAACGGAAGACAAGCATGAACCATTCTACATCATGACCAGCAGAGGGCGCTGCTGACAAGCTACATTATACAGGAGAGTGAATGAACCTATAGTTCATACTGGATTTAAACCAAATCACACATGTTTAGTAAGTAACTCTTTTATTAGATTTGGTGACACAAATATTTAAACATATTACGTTTTTACAACAGAGAAAAATGCTCCATATATCATGGAAGAGCCTCCTTACTGCTACATAACATATAAAATGTCTGATATATTTTGCTTGAGTTTTGCCAGATAAATGTGAATTATATTGCACAGTGAAAATAGAACGATCTGCCTGCTTGCTAATTCATCCTTGACCTTGAGTAAGGGTTGGGCATGGGAAAGTATAGGAGGACCAAAGAAAACTGAGAGTGGCCCAACATAGGAGCAACGGAGAAATAATCATTTCTCAAAACAGTAGTCGAAATTATTTAAATGGCCACAAGATGTCGCCATTGCATCCTTGTTTTGAGACTCTTGCCAGAAAGGAGACCATCACCCCATCTATAAAAGCCAAATAGCTGTTGAAGTATTCAGTTTAGTGGAGGAGAAAGAACAATTCTCCTCCACTGACAGCGTAATAAGGAATTTATGTTATAGCCTGACTGATACTGATCATTGTATTTGGGATTTTAAAGACTTCAAATGATAAAGATATTGTGTTTTTGTCTTTGTATTATTATATAATGGCCATAGTATGCTGTACAAACGTACATGATCTGTACAAAAAGTTAAATGTAGTAAGTCACATCTGCTTTATTTGAGGAAAAATAATCCTTTATTTTGCGTATAAAAATAACAGACATCTGATGAACACATACATTCTCATGCATTTGCATTTTACTGTATGTCATGATCTTGCAGTTGGTTTGTACAGTATTTCCGTGTTTTTCCACTGATGAATGATGTTTCACAAATCTGGATTCATCATAGGCTCCCATGTGAACTTCAGAACAGCAAACTTCTTAAATAAATCAAACAACAAAGAGAGAAAAACATCATACTATAAAATCTAATGTTATGATTATGCAACAGAGTTACAAAACACACCATATTTCGCTAAGGATGTAAGAATTGATACTGAAAACAGCTTTGTTCTTTTTTGTTTAGTCCATGTTTTAAAATTGGATGAGTCCCGGGCAACTGACCATATTAAACATACATTTTACAGACAGAGAAACTAAGGGTTTATTTAAATTGTATATGCAGTCCTGCTTTGCTGCAGCTCATACTCATATCTGTTTCAAGTCTTCTTTTCAGATCTGAAAGGTGAGACAATTTCAAGTGTTTCCTTCAAATTTAAAACACATCCATGTTCTCTTGCTTAAAACACCAATTATCTTGATACAAGTCAAATACTTCCTTATTGCTTATTGCTACAAAACCTATTTTAGAGCATACGAAACACATGGATTATTCTCACCTTGAAGGCATGATCTTTTTTATAAAACACTCAATCTCCATTTAAGAGTACATTTAAGAGTAACACTTTGTATATTTGACAGTTTTACGATATTTATATGCCAATTATTGTCACGATTTTACATCCAACTATTGGTCATACGTCCCCGATGGAGGTTTCCCCATTTGTTTTCATTGGAGCAACAGAAATAAAAAACTTTATAGTTACTCAGTTTTCTTAGAAATGCTTTTTTTTTACCTGCACTGAGTGGAAATATAACAATCTTCCAGAGATAAAGAAATCAAAAGCGTATACTTTGAAAGTGAATAATGCATCACATTTGAGGCCAACACTGGTCATGGCAGATAATGTACATCTGAAGTTGTCCAACATGATCACTTTTTCCTTCCAATGTGAGCCAGCATGCGCGCGTTCTCGGCCGCCTTTGCGCGCATGTGTTTGGCCTTGGCGACGTCAAAGAGGATGTTCATGATGTTGGTCGGGACGTCCAGAGACAGGGTCAGCCTGCTCCTCCGGTCGCCTTTGATGCTGTTTCGGAGCCGCTGCTCTCTGAGCTTCGTCCGACTCACGAAGCGGTAGTTCGCGGGACTTGAAGTCCTTTTTTCCCGGCTGGACTCGGCAGAAGTGGAGGTGGAAGAGGAGAGGTACTCTGCGGACTGCAGAAGGGACCCCCAGCCGTCCACAGGGAGCTCCTCCTCGTCACTCTGGACCCCCACATCCATCTGGTCGTCGCACAGGAGGTTGGAGCGGGTGCGGTAGAGGCGGAGGCACAGGCTGGAGGTCGGCGTGCACAGCACCGAGAGCAGCAGCAGGGTCTTCAGGGAGGACAGCATGCTGAGTCCTCTGGGACCCCCAAAGGAGAAAAGGGAGAGGGAAGAAAACATGTTTACTTTCCCCCCTAACACCTCAGTGTCCATCATAAGAAGATATTTTATTTCACGCATTAGTGTATTAATCTTAAAGTATGTAACAGCAAACGGAATGAGAATAATGCCGGTCTTATTTAGTTTTAACATAAAAACTAAAATGTTACTTCTTCAGTCTCTCAAAAACAATATGGTTCTATAACATTCGAGCGATAGTTTAGATCAAGTTCAGCTTGTGTTTTCAAAAATATGTTTGAGAACAGATAATGTAATTTAATTGGGTCACAAACAGGTAAGAAATCATTTTTGCACAACTTACCACTCGTGTCCTACAATAAAGAATGCAGTTAGAGGTCACCCAACACTATCCCTGCGAAGAAAACCCAAAGTGGCAGAAATCCTCTGAAGTGAAGTGTGATAAGAAATCCCGATGAAGTGATACTGAGCGGAGGTCAGCAGTGCGCACTGTCCGACCGGCAGCGTGTCATGCTCGTCCATTCCCTCTGCATTCATTTAGTAGGAGCCACCAAACTGCAGCCCTACGCCATCAACAACGTCATCCCCGTTCACATGTTGGTCTGCTCTCCAGTATCCCATTGGTTGTGATGCAGTGATGTAGTGGTACATTGAAAAAAGTTGTTAAACGTGACCTCCTGTCGGTGAACACAAGGCATCACGACCACAGAGACAACAAAACACTTTTTTTCTTGCAGCCTGATCCTTTTTCGGTATGTTTAAGTCTGATATATCTAGGTCTCACTCCTGGTTTTAAAGGAGTGAGACCTAAACATATCAGACTACTCATTAAATTCTCGTTTTATGACATAAGATTGCTTGTTGAGGACAAGTAACAGTTCCCACTCAGAACCACGGACAGTTCTCATTCAGAACAAGTAAAAGCTCCCGTTCAGAACCATGGACAGTTCCCATTCAGGCAACACTTTCTTATATTTGCAGTTATTGTAAATTCAGCAAGAATAATTGCATTATTTAATACGTGTATCCGTCGGCTACTATTTTGACAATCAATTAATAGTTTTAAATATGGTTTTCAATGTGTTTTAAATACAACTTTAAGTGTAGACGCAACACACACACGGGAACTACCTACAGTGATGTAAATTACATGTCAAAACCAAGTTTGCAGAAGTGAGAGGATCAAAGGGTGTTGGGTCAAACTCTAATGAGCAACTTCATCGTGGGATTAATGTGACTGTAAGTCTGCACAGCTGGAGTATGCCGTCTCTGACACACTGTGCTAAACACGTCCTCCCACTCCTGCCTCCACTCAGCAACTGAGCTCTGAAATTAGTTGCTCCTCTTTAGCTTCAATGGAGAACCTCACTTTCATGCTGGATTATGTTGTTGTTAGTCACTTGAAATGTGACGTGTTCAAAGTTCCTGCTCAGTTTAGGTGTGGTATTGACCCCATATACTTATTGTCTGGTTTTGAGGCTTATGTTTAACAAGTTCAATAATATGAACCAACATACTTCACTTCTTTCTTTGTGGAAATATAGTTGTAATAAAGTTTCTTACTATGAACATTATTTAGATTTGTGTGGGTGTGTTCTTTTATTGGTTCCTGGTTTAATGTGGTCCAGGTCCATATCCATTGGCCAAGCCGGCCAGCTAACCAATCAGAGCAGACTGGGCTCTGGTTTCAGACAGAGGGTGAAAAGAGGTGCTGCAGCACAGGCAGTAGGAGAAAGATAAAGAGCTTTGAACATTAAAGCATGGAGACATGTCACAGGAGAGACACACAATGCTAATATGAACCTGAACATGAGCAAATAGGGCCCCTTTAAACTGCTTTAAGTTATCATTTAGCTTTGCAAACACTAAATGTGAAAGGAAAAACATTTGTTAGACCTTAAGGTTACACACAATGCATTTTTATGTTTAAAATAAAACTCCACAGAGCACCTTTTATGATACTAAACTAAGTTTTGGGGGCTTTAAGAAAAACAGTGACTGATATTATTTCAAGCAATACTAGCTATATTTTAACACTGAGAAAGTATATTAAGAATAAGGACAAATGACTTTAAAGCTAAAATATAAGTGTTACATATTTTTTACAGTGTGGCAGCTGCCTCGTCTACACTAGTTGTGTTGGCAGAGGGCGTGGTTCATCGAGGACAGCCTGTCACTGCAGACTGTGTAACTACATCTTACAGATCTATGAAGCCCTCGGCATGTGGGAGTGCATCGTACAGAGCAGCATCGTGACTAATAGAGGAAGCCTCTGGAGGCTTGTCAGCTAAAGACTCATCTGTCTCTATGAACCAAATGTAGTTTCTGCTTTAAATACTGATTATTGAAGAATGCCTCCAGAAACGTGGCGGTGGAGCTGCAGAATGTTGCACTGAAAACTAAGATTTATTTTTCCAAACATCATCAAATGACACCCTGAGAATGTAGCCTGTGTCGTGCTTCTTCATGTGTCACACTGCCAGCAAATAAACCCTGAATGCGTGCTGCCGTCACTTCAACACCCACGCAGGAATCCCCTGCTCCTGCTGCGCCGCTCCGATGGAGAGTCCCTTCAACAGTCCCTGCATGATCCCCCTCATGCGGCTCCCAGCCTGACCCATAACACCCCCTACCAAAGAAACATATGTAGTGGTGGAGGTAGCAGCAGGCATTCAGAAATCAGCTTCTTATTTGTTCTCACCACACAGGAGGCAGGGCACTTTATGAAAACATCAGAAAGGTGACTGAGTATTCAAGAGAGATGGAGAGAAGAGACAAGCACGACAAATATACACAAGAAAAAGAGTGATTTAATATTTCAGGATGGAAATTGATATTTTCAGACGTTCAAAAACTCAGTCTAATGTCAGTCTATTTCAGAATAAAAGTATATAAAATTCACATTTCGATTTTCAACACTTTGTCTCTAAAAAAATCAAGCCGTTAAAATATATAAATAAATCCACAAAAAAACACACGATTCGAACATTTTACAAAGTTATGTACACAAATGATTTCCTCATTTTTGGTTGATTGTTTCCTCTCCAGGATTCGTACCTATGGAAGAGTAAATGCCATTTTAATTACTATGATTAAAGATTAGGCAAATATTGTGTTGTCTTAATGACTATTTTATGAATCACAGCATCTTCCCAATCAAACTGAGACACTTTTACAGAAGATTAGCTGAACAACGTTTACTTAGTGATCTGATTAGTCCCCCTTACCTCTCCTCTCCACCCCACACCAACTCTGGCACTCTTGTCTTGAAGAGAATTGGTTTGTGTTTCCTCCACAGCCCCCGTACACAAACGGCCTGCACTCCCCTGAGTGAGGGTGGAAGTACCAGAGGAGAACAAACTCTGAGCAGGCCCCCTCTGACATCGGCTCCAGGCAGCGCTCTGCTTGCATGCGAGAATAAATAAAAACATACAAATGTAGCTTATTTTTCAATATGATCGAGGATGTGTATTATTGCCTACATTCTTTTACTTCATGACACTCTAAACATATATATGTGAGGCCACTTGGGGCCACTAGTGAGCAAAATGTTTGGGGAGATCTTAGGGTTTGACTGACGAGATTTCACACTTGCTTTGACAAGTGTTTGTGTAAAAGGGATGCTTACTTGTTTGCTTTCTTATAGAGATGGATAAGAAATGTTAATAAATTGCCTGACTGATCACAACAAACAAATACTTCATGATATTCATCTTCTCTCAAGAAAAGAGAAAATGAGAGAATTTCTAAATGAATTATTAAGCATAAAGGGACCAGCTGGATGTTATCAATTTACTGTATGATTCACACAAGGTCGAGTGAGAAGCTTTTTTTTCCACTGCGCTTGTTTTTCATAAAGTGCGTCACGAAATCTAGCACAGGCTATCAAACATTCATGGATTAAGTTTTGCTCTTATCATTCTCTCCCACATTGTGCTTCGTAAACAATTTCAAGGATATCATTACTCAAAGCTTATGGAAATATGTGATGCACAAAGCAAGTAAACAAGATGGAAAAAAAGTGAAAAGATGAGGAGGAGAATAAGTTGTCTTGGCCACTCACCAGCTGTGTTGGTTCCAAGTACCCTTCTTTTCTTCCTCTGTCTCCACTCAGCAGTCCCCTCAAGAGAATCTGACGCCCAAAACAACATCAATTACAAGCAGGACTACTGGGTGGATTGAATCGTTAGGGGCCAAAAGAAGGAACCACTTTGACTCAACCAACATGTAGTGAATTCCAGTTGTGTGTGTATTTGATCTACATGGCACATTCGTTGTACATATTTCTGTTCTCGTTGTGCAAACTTTCTGTGAATCTTTGTTTGAAGGAATTACAATTCACAAATGATATCCTGCAAAAATAAAAAAAACAGGGACACATTTTCATTTACTCCTTTGAAGACTCCATATTAAAAAGTGACCTACTGGGTTTGAGCAAATTCATAATGTCTTACACAGAATGAGCTAATTGTTTTCCAGTGAATGATTGTAAGTTATGAATAAACATGCTGACATTGACAATGGGCAATGACAAGCTTCGTCTTTGATCAGTCTTCTGGTTATGTTCACCTGAAGCAACAATGGAAATAAATTGGGTTGCAGAAAGCTGTTCTTTCCCTGGAGCTGTGTTCAATGTATATAATAAGCTTCATGTTGAACCTCAATTTGTGTTGCCTTTTTGTCTACGTGATCTTAGCCTCCATTTGTGACTCCAAGTGACCTTGACAGAATCATGATAATATACTCTGAGGTGTCTCAATGGTTAAAAAGTTATCTGATTACATTATTACTGTTTCAAAGTCCCTACAGTCTCAACCAACACACTATACAAATGCCTACATCACAGCTGTTACACAATAGTATGACATATGTAACCATTTAGCTGGAACACACATTTGGTCACACTCTATAAATGTGTTGTGGACATCTGAGCACTTTCAGAAATGATGATGTCTCAGGCATCTGTGTGTTCGGCCCGTGGGCTTAGACCCTGCATGCGCACTACTGAAATCATTATAATTACCAGTGCTGTTTGGTAGGAGCACAGGGGCAGCAGTGGTCACTTCTCCCAGTTTGTCTCCCCCTCCCTCCTCCACCCCTTCTTCAGGGAGGTCAGGGTTGACGGGTGTCACTACATCAACCGGATGTTTTTTATTCTCAGTCACTGCGGTGGTTCCATCTGGATCCACAGACTTCACCATGAACTTGTATTCCAATCCTGTAATGATACAAACAATATACACACAATCTTCAAAACCAAATAAGAATGCTGTTTATTTTCTATCTGTACTATACATCAATATACTTTTGAAATATAATTGCCAACATTTGAGTCTGAAGTGTTTTAATGCAACAGTGTGTGTTTAACAGAGTTATGGGAACGTATCTTTTTCCCAAATAGATTGTGTTATGAGACGTGTAGTTTAAATAACCAGCTATTAGCTAGCAACTAGAACATGCGTGGTCTGATATTCTGTCTTATTTAGGAAATAAAACGTTTCAAATACTGATATATCTATATTTTCAAAACATCCTGCATGAAAAAAGTTTGCAATACGCAGAATTGTCCTTTAAGTATTTAGTGTGTTGGATTCTTGGTGAGGCGTCCCACTTAATGGCAGTCTCGTGTTTGTGAATGGCTCCACTGTGGCTGGCACCATGGTGTGTGTTCCTCTGAGAGAACATAACAGATGGCTAAACACACACGGTGCCATGCTGCCGCCGTGAGAGCTCTACAACAAACCACCACACACACAAACACACACACAATATGTAGGCCTGTCAAGAGTTACACATGTATTCCGTCTCGGTTCAATGTATAAGCAAACGGAAAAGGTTCAAGATGTCTAAGTGAATAATGTGACAAACTGAATCTTACCGCACTTCTCTACCACCTCCTGAGTGACTATCTCCTTCAATTCTTCAGCCTTGATACAAAGAAAGAAAATATTAGTTTACTTAGTTACTAATTTGACTACCTCTCTATATACAGTACATATGTTTAAACGTGTGCAATTGTGATAAACACGTACCGAGAGTCCAGGCTCCCCCTTCTCCCCTTTTCCTCCTTCAATGCCCAGTGTACCCTAAAGAAACAACACATTTTCAAAACGTTATTTACATTCTATCGAGCATTTTTATAAAATATTTTAATTTGACCAAAACAACTCTAGAGAGTATAAAGTCCCGCCACCTTCAGGTCATCAAAGAAAAACATTTCTTGAGTGGACCAAATACATAACAGAAGCTAGTAAAACAGAAGCAAGGAGAAGACCAAGACGTCAATATCTTTACTTCTGTTTTTGAGTGTGTGTGTGTGTGTGTGTGTGTGTGTGTGTGTGTGTGTGTGTGTGTGTGTGTGTGTGTGTGTGTGTGTGTGTGTGTGTGTGTGTGTGTGTGTGTGTGTGTGTGTGCGTGTGTGTGTGTGTGTGTGTTCATGCAGGACTCTCACACTCTCTCCTCTGAGTCCTGTTGTCCCAGGGGCTCCTCTCTGACACGTCTTCACTCTGCCTCTTCTGCCCCTCTCCCCCTGTTAGACAAAAATCAAAGTGCGTCCAGAGAAACCACATTGTGAGTTTGGACAGTATTTCATACTAAACCTCTGTGTTAACAAGTAGACACACAGCGGCAGGAAAGACAGACTGATTAGGTCAATCCTCAGAATATCCTCATTAAAGGTTTCCAGACTCTCTGTCAACACTGAATGTCTGCTAATTGTAGCTGAAAGCATGAAAGCTGCAGACGGAAATAGGCCTGTGTGTGTGTGCGTGTGTGTGTGTGTTTTAGTTTAAGACATGTCTGTACTGTATCCACAGCTGCAGTACATGCTAACAAGACGCAGATATGGTGAAGACTGTAATCACACTCATCTCGTCACCATGTTCACATAATGGTCTAAAATGGAATGATTTATTTCGTATTTCCTCAACACACTGAGGAATACCGTACCCTCCGCCCTGTTCCCCCGCGGGGTCCGGGGTTTCCTGGCATTCCCTCATCTCCGTCCATTCCTGTTTTCCCTTCCGACCCCTTAAACCCTGGGAATCCTGGGAAACCTGCGGTACCCTTCACGCAGCAACAGAATCATTAACACACACAGGAGAAAATAAAACCGGCAAATGATCAGTGGTGAAATTAGCTTGACAGTTAGCAGTGATGTTGATGTTCATTTACTGACCTTATCTCCTTTCACTCCTGATTTACCATCAACACCATTAACGCCTCCTTGTCCCTTATCACCCTAAAGTGAGGGCACATGATGGGAACAGAGAGTTTGTATACGTTTATGGAGGAGAGAAAGATCAATATTTGCAACGTTGAATGTTCACCTTGCGTCCTGTGAGTCCATTCAGCCCAGGTATACCAGGCGTGCCGTGTAACCCCAAATCTCCCTGCATACACAGAGTTATTTCGATTACTGAAAGATGATGTATAACTTTGTATTCATCTAAGATGCTAGTTCATTACTAACCTGTTCTCCATCAAGGCCTGGACTCCCAATGCGTCCCGGTAGACCTCTGAAACCCTGTAACAAAAAAATATTTCACATGCAAATATGGCACATGGCAAATGAAAAAATAAACAATGAGTGGGACAACTGTGAAAAACAAAAATCTGCCTTAACCTTTTCTCCATTCTCCCCTATGCTTCCCGGTAAGCCTGGTTCTCCTGCATCACCCTGAGAAAAGAATCAAACACACATTTATACGATACGATATAAAGGATCATGATTGGTTGAATATTGATTTTCAATGTACCTGATTTCCCTTGTGGCCGAACAGTCCTATGTCTCCTTTGTCCCCCTTGGCCCCATCCACTCCATGATCCCCATTGAGACCCTTAAATCACAACCATGGGTATTACTGCGTGTGTTAAAACTCAAATTTGGCTCTTAAAAATGTTTTGCAGCTCTACCATTTCTCCATTTATTCCAGGCTCTCCTGAATCTCCCTGGGGGAAATAAGATAACTTTACACACAGAACTTACATAAATGTGGTGTAACAATATTAAAATAAACCTTTATTTACCTTCTGGCCTACTGGTCCTCGTGCTCCAAAACGTCCCAATGCCCCCTTAGTTCCTGCATCACCCTTTATGCCCTTTCCAAAACAAAACAAAATGGTTTCCATGATAAGGATTTTTTGCAGTCCCCTTAATTACAAATAAAAGTATGAAGAAGACTGATCATTGTCTATTAGAGACACCACCGTGATCAGTATAACAGTATTTTGCATTTCTACTACTATTGTTGTTTACATATTTGACATGTTTACAGCAGGATGTATTACCTTGACTCCAGGAGGACCGTCCTCGCCCTTTTCTCCTTTATCTCCATCAAAACCTGGTGGGCCACGCTCACCCTGAAAGAGAAAATAGTCGTAGTATTTTTCTTAAATGAATTCCTTCTACAGTAATTCTGATGGCAAATATATTAAAGGATATTACCGCCCCTCCTTTGGAACCCTTAAATCCACGGGGTCCTTGGATTTGAAGAACACTCCCCTGTAGGAAGATATTAAATTGTGAATACAGTAAAAGCTGTAAACGAGTGTAGTGCAGGGTTAGAAAACTGCAGGGGAAGTAATCAAAACACATCATACCCTTTCTCCTCTCACTCCAGGCAATCCAAAGTCACCCTACAAACAAAATGTTGTTATTGCCATTCTAGCTGTTGACAAAGTACACGTGATACTTTATACCTGTTGCTGCTTTAGTGTTGCATTTTATTTGATTAAAACCCTTCACAATACAATGTAATCCATCTGATACAATGTCATGGATGATTGTTATACGCAACAGGACATGGGGTTAGACACATTGAAAGGAGAGGCCTTGAACTCATTATGTGTGACTCTTGAGTAGAGAATACATGTTTATTTTCTGAAGTCTTGTTTGCTGACTCCAAGTTGACATCATTAAAGTATTGCAGCGTTATCGTATGATTAATTATGTTGGTGAGTTAAGTGAAGGAACCAAATGAAAAGATACATTTAAATAGACAGTTGAACAATATTGTGATCATTTATGTGAAATAACAGCTCACCTTTCCACCTTTGCTGCCACGCAAACCCTTTGGACCCTAAAAAAGAAGACACAAAGTATCTTTAAATATACACAAGTGAAACCTGTAACAGTTTTAAATAAAAGCAGGACACTTGGTGGCTTTAAAAAAGTGACTTACTACATTTCCAGACGGTCCTTTATTGCCTATAGGACCCTTTTCACCCTGAAAAGAAATCGGTTAGGTTTTTTGCTTAATCCACTAACATTACAGGAATTTGCTTGATAACGTTTGTCTGGTGTCTGTCTGGTGTTTGTCTGGTGTTTGTCTGGTGTTTGTCTGGTGTCTGTCTGGTGTTTGTCTGGTGTCTGTCTGGTGTCTGTCTGGTGTCTGTCTGGTGTCTGTCTGGTGTCTGTCTGGTGTTTGTCTGGTGTCTGTCTGGTGTTTGTCTGGTGTCTGTCTGGTGTCTGTTTCTGGTCAGGGGTTTCTCCTCACAAGGGTCTCCTGTGATGAAGCTGAACTAAACTCACCTTCCTGCCTGAGAAGCCTGCCAGCCCCCGGGCCCCGGGCTCTCCAGGAGCACTGCTGGCCTGGAGGAAGATAAAGTCATGACTCAACTATAAAACGACAATACCAGTTGAAGTATAATCTAGGAATCATGGGCCAAAGAGAAAATAATTGATGCTACTATCATATATAAAGCTACCTTTTCTCCTTTTACTCCAGGAGTCCCAGGAGAACCCTTCATTAGAGAGGGGCAGCGGGAGCAAAAGAAGATGTCATTAAAGGTTATTTCCAGTGGACAATGAATCAGATAAAGTGTCACTATTATCAAATGAGAAATACCAATATACAGACAGAGTATTTGTGAAGCTCATTTTGCTCTTTTGTATTTTCTTACTTGAGCACCTGCTGCTCCTCGGGTTCCAGGAGATCCAGGCGATCCATTCTTTCCCCTTTTTCCCCGTTCCCCCTGCGTTCACACAGAAAACATTTGATTATTCTTTACAACCCATTTTAGCATTAATTCACAACAATTCCTCTTGATTGATAAGGTATGATGCACCTCTCTGCCTGGGTCTCCTGGGTCCCCTTGAGCAGCCCTAAGCCCCTGGGAGCCCTGCATGCCTGTGTGACCGTGGATACCCTGGATGCCCTGGGCACCCGGAGGCCCCGGCTCACCTGGTTCACCCTAAGATTAAGAGAGGAAAAGTAAGAAAGACAATTTAAAATGTTGGAGACAATCACACAATTAAAGGTCACTTCTTTAATGTTATTATTCAGCTCTTCTGTTACTTTTGACTCATTGCTTTCAAATAAATGTCTTCCTTCCTTTATCAATGTAAATGCTCAAACACAATTTGAAATGAGTGAATGAGTCACTGAGCCAATTACATTTGCTAAATTAAAACTGCCAACAGAGGCAAATCAATTAACGAGAATGTGATAGAAGACTTGCGGAGGATTCATTGATTTAGAGGGGAATTAAAAAAAATTAAGTTTGCAAGGTTTTATTTTTCTTGAAATGTTACCTTAAGTCCCGGAGGACCAGCCTGGCCTTCTGGACCCCTGTGGCCGATACCTGGCTCGCCCTAAATACACAAAACAAACGTCATTGGAACATCGTTCAGCAATGTCTTTAAGTGTAACACTTTCAAAACTTAATATTTAACAGTTTATAAATATTTACCTTTTGTCCTCCTTCACCAATTTCCCCCTGAAAAGTTTGGACAAAAAGAGTTAGAAAGAGCACCTCAGAACATTGTTTTCCATGAGCCAAAATAAACAAACTCAGATGAATTTCAATTGAATACATAAATAAAAAAACCCAAAAGAATAAGCAGCCTCTTCGGCATGTCTAACAAGGGGAATAATGAATGTCTGCTTTAATACTGTCTCCCAGTCAAACAGAAATAGAGCAGAGTGTCACATCAAAGGCCAGGACTCGACTGGTTTTACTGACAGGCGAGACGGGAGAGGAGTTCTCCCCCCGCTCTGATGTCATTGACTGATGCACTGTGGGTAGGTGGGGATAGCTGCAGTTATATATTCATGAAGTGGAGGCACATGTTGTGTGGTGACTGTCATGTTTCCTCTGGGATCTAAAGATAATGATAATGCTGCTTTATATTTGTTTAATCAGTGAGCTGATATCAGTGACTCAGTCAATCCTGGAAAGGATGTGTTTGAATTTAAAGTTCACCCAAATTACAAAACATTTCTTCTTGCTCACTTCTAGTGGAGTCCATGCAGACAGCTGTGATTTGATATGTCCATCTCTAGGTTTCATAAACTACATTCCCATCAGACGTAACTGTGTGTGCTGTCTCTGACCTCTAACCTCTGTATGTACCTCACTCAGCTGTTAGCATGGTTGATTGTGACATAAATGTCGTTTTGGGTAGACTGACCCTTTACAACAGGTTTTTCCAAAATGTACTCATGCTTTTGTTTTTATGTTGCTAACCCTTTTTCCTTGCCAGAGCCATTTTTTGCTTGTTCATCCTTTTGGCTATTCACATGTGTATTTTATAAGTATAACCTCAGTTCCTATCATTGATTTATGATAAAGTGTTTGACCACAAATAAATGATTCCATAACATCAGGCTTTATATGAGTAAATGTTTTTCTTCATGATGTAACATTTCTCATTGTGTCTTAAGCGCTTGAATGATAACCATGTTTATTATTGTTATGTCTTCATGTTAAAAAGTCTTTAGTTACCTTCCGTCCTGGTGATCCGTTCTGCCCCTGAATAGGAAATGAAAAGCATTGCATAATCAAAGTGGTGTTCATCCTGCATATTTCTAAATGTGCATAACACAAGTTGAGTTACATTGAAGGGTGTGTTACCTTCAGGTGGAAATACTCTGGGGGGTATGGGTACGGCTGTTCAGTTTCTTCATCATAACCCCCCACTCTCCCCCTCTCCATCTCCGCCCTCCTCCTCTCCCACTCCTCCCTCGCCCTCTTCAAGTCTTCCTCCCCCTCCTGCTCTGTCCTCTTCCTCTCCAAGTCTTCCTCCCCCTCCTGCTCTGTCCTCTTCCTCTCCAAGTCTTCCTCCCCCTCCTGCTCTGTCCTCCCCCTCTCCAACTCTTTCTCCCTCTCCATTTTTTCTCTCTCTACTTCCATCTCTGCCTCCCTTTCTCTCTCAAGCTCCTCTCTTTCTCTCTCCATCTCCATCCTTTCCTTCTCTCTCTCCCTCTCGAGGTCTTCATCCTCCTTTCCTCCTCTCTCTTGATCTACGTCCTCCTCAGTCTCCCAGTCGTAGTCTCCACTCCTCTCCTCCTCCTCCTCATAGACGGGATCAGGGTCTGGTTCTGTAAATCGATCTGTCTCTATCACTTTGTGTTGTTCTGTTTCCCACTCCTCCACTTCTTCAGCTTCAGTTTCTTCCTTTCCTCCCCCTTGGGTTTCTGTATCGCTGTATCGCTGCCTCTCCCTTCGTTCTTGCCTCTGCTTCCTGCTAAGTGTTTGAAGGTCAGAGTCTTCTTGCTTCTTCTGCAAGAGAAGAACATTTAACTAGAAAATGCATTTCCTGCAGAAAATGCGTGTGAATGCTGTAAACTGTGAACATTTGTGGCTGAATTGAGCTGAAAATGCAGAAAAAGCTGAATATGTTATTAGCTGAATGGTCTCTGTAGCTGCTTTTAGCTACAGAGACCAAGTCAGTGTGTTGCTGAACTTAGCGGAGAAATGCAGAAAAGTGAAATGATTTGAATCAAAATTGTTACAGCTCAAATGCATTGCAATGACTTTGTTGAAAACTTGAAAGTGAAATGTTAAACTAGAAGAGTAGGAAAAATAGTAAAGAAGCTTAATATTTAAAAGAAAAGGTTTAAAAAAGGTACAACAACATGAATAGCCTCAATGTCCTGAAATAGCTGAATAAGTTAATAGTTGAATGGTTTCTGCAGCTGAAAGTAGGCTGAAGGAGTTACATATCAGATGTGAGTAGTAGTGAATGAATGTGTATTAAGAAGAGAAAAGAAAGTAAAAAGGCTTTGGAAAGCAGCAGAATATTTTGACTGCAAACTTTTCGACTAAAACCATACGTCACCAATAATGTATAAAATATGTGGAACCTGTTGAAGTCAGTATGAAGTCTCCATCACGGCCCGTCCACACAGCGGCGTGCGTTGAAGCTTGCCGACGGGCGTGTCTGAAACTCGACCAACAACCAATCACATGAATCTCCCGCCCCTGACACACAAGCAGCGGTTTGATTGGCTAGAGCTTGTACTGGCATATGATTCGATTGGCTGACGCTTCTGCCGAGGCATAAAAAGTTGAACATTGCTCAACTTTTGCAGCGAGCCACGCCAGCAAAGCTCCGCTTCGCTTCCCACAATGCAGTTCGGCGAAAAGTGACGTCACCCCATTCAAAGTGAATGGTGAAGCTTTCAACGCACGCCGCTGTGTGGATGGGCCGTCAGACAGAAAATAATAGGCTGAGACAGTCTGTTAAAGTCCAGTGTGTTTGTCAGTGTTTGTTTCTGTGCTGAGCACCTAATCATAACAAATAATCATAACACCTGTGTGAGCCCAGAGATCAAAGCTTTCAATCTGCCCAGCAACACCATGGTTACCAGCTGCAGCACTGAGTCCCATGAAGAATGCATTGAGGATTATATCTGACAATTTTGCCACCTGTTCAAAAACGATGGCTCCTATAAAAAAATTAAAAGACCGTGAGCATCAGGGAACCCCACTTAACTGATATATGTTTGTTTTTTTGTTTTTGTGAAGAAAAAATGTGAAGATGGGAGCAGTTTGTCTAAAGTTTACTTCTCTCTGTTCTGAAGAAAGTTCCAGACAAATTTAACATGGGAGTCTATTGGGAGCTAGGTGGACTTTTTGTCACTCAGATCACTATTGGGCCAGAACGGTGGGTCCGTTTGATATGATGAAGGCAATTGAGCAGGCCAGACTAATTATGCTCCTGAAATCTTTTGAAATTATTTGAATAGAGTGTATATTTTGGCTCTGAGAGCAGTTTTAAAATATGTTTTCCGATGATTTTTATGACCCTCTACACAGGATGGGCAAATGTTACTTGTAGTACTGATACCGTCCACTAGACCCCTAGTTACGTCGCGAGCTGCGTACATGATTTCGTTTGGCAGCCAAATACCGCAAAATAATCTGTGACGCGTTTGTGTGTATTGTGTTTGTTTCCCGGGGAAACACTCACAAGAAACACCGGCTGTTGTTATGCCTGCTGTGACATTAAGTTACCGCTTGTAATTATGCCTTTACAAGCTTCAAAGTTGTATTTATCATCTGAATTTGGCGAAACAAGTTTAATATTCTAAAAACCAAGACTGTGTTTATTTGAAATCAGATGAAAACAAACTGTCACGGACCCTGCCGTGTTATCTATGATTACTATACGCTTTTCATTCATAATTTCAGCGGGAGGGAGGGGGAGCGGCGCTGAGGAACAGCAGAGTGCGGGTTGACAGGTGCCTGTGTTGACATTCCCCTTATTGTGGAATAAGGGGAATGCAGAGACAGTCTACAAGTGTCTTAGGTTCAAGTTAGACAACTAATGTCTGGGTTAGTGTTCATGACTTCATGTTTATGTCATCTTAATGGTTAATCTTAAATGCACACACATTTTCCGTGCTTTCCAATAGTTTAAAATAGTTTTATTCCACTGTTAAATAACCTGTTCAATACAAACATGCCACTTGTAAAAATTAAATAACATTTCAGTGAACTGATATTTGTTTAGTGAGCTTATTAGAGGATGTTCCCTGAAAGATTGTAAAATGTCAATGAAGATGTCAGACTTAGTATATTTGTTAATAATTACATACAATACATGGAATTTGTGTGTGTGTGTGTTCCAAGTGAATCTGCGGCCCCCTGGTGGCCAGTACATAAATTAAGTGGCCCCCACCACCATCCAAGTTGCCCATCCCTGCTCTGTAGTGATGATGCCACGCACTCTAGCCCTGAAGAGTCCCTCCCATAAGGCGCGTTCACACCAAGTACTTTGCCGTATTTAGTGCCGGCACTTAGTGCCCCGGCACTTATTACCCCAGGGCACTTAGTACAGATCACGTTCACACCGGAATAAATTCCCTGAGGGAAGATTACGCAAATGAGCCGCTGACGTCACTTCGTCTTCTTCTGCTTTGGGTTTACTGGCAGGCCGCAAACCACTTCACGGCGTATACTGCCACCCGGAGTCCCCGGCCGGAAGTCCCCGGAGTTGGGGACTGGCTTCAGTAGAAGCTGCTGGGAGTCCCAGCAGCTTCTACTGAAGCCTTCCGAGTAAATCGCCAGAACGCCGACACCTCCTCATCTCCACCGCTCCCATGTTTTATTTTGTGTTGCCATAAGTTAGTCTCTCTGCGTTTGTGCGCTGGGCAAATGCTAATCCTAATAATGCTAATGCAAGGATAATAAAATGGCGGCTCTACAAAACATTTCAGAGTTGTACGGGGCGTGGTTTGCAATTCGCCCAGCCAATCAGAACTGGGGCACTTTTTTCCCCCAGGAAAGTACGATCTCTCAGCAGGCACTAAAAATGGGGGTAAAAGTTCCCGGGATTAAGTGCTCTTTTTGGTGTGAACGCGACATAAGGGGTACTAACGGAACTAAATGCGAAAAGTACGGTGAAAAGTACTCCGGTGTGAACGCGGCTATAGACACCCATTATAAAATCGAAAACGGCCTGAAAATGTACCAGAACTTAAACGTTGATAAGTCAAAAACTGTAAAAGATATCAAAAATCTGACAAACAAGTTTTATAGCTGAAGGTCTTGTGATCATTTTAAAGTTGGAATGAAGTCTCTAGCTGAAAGTATGTGGAAGGAGTAGCATTTGGTGCAAGGTGTAGGTAAAAGAGGATTTGAAGGTTCCTCCCATTGAGTTACATGTTAAAAAAAGAGTTTAAAAAGCTGAATATTTAAAAAAGTATAACATATTTTGAAAAAGTTGAAAGTTTCCCATCATGTGCTGAAAAGGCTGAATAGTTTGATATTTGAATGGTTTCTGTAGCTGAAAGTATGCTGAAGTTATTGAGAGCCAAAGTATTGGTTGAAATAAGAAGAAGAAGATGAAGAGGAAGAATAAAGATTTGAAGAACTATAGTGTGAATGCTGTAAACAGCATTCGCACTAATAACACAAGTTAACATGTTTATAAGTCTCAGCGTCTTGGTTTGGATTTCTAATTTGAAATCCATGATAACTTACATTCCAGCTGTTGTAACCTTGAGCTCCAGAGGACAGATGCTGAAAATAAAATAAGGTCTCAATCTTAATTCTTTATTATATGCAATCTGAGTCACATGCATTAAGTTTGAATTTGTTAAGACTGAATTACTTTGTGTGCCTCCAAGAAACGAGTTCTTCCACCTGGGGCACCTGGCATAAACACCTAAAAAAAACAAAAAACTTTTTACTGCCATTTTGATTATGATCAATCTGTCTTCTACAAAGGTGGCACTTACCATGGAGTCGGGCCAGGGAGCGCTTTTCTTCACCCTGATTTGGGACCTAAGCACCTATCAAGACCCCCAAAACTTCTCATGAAACATTTATCACAATTATTGTAAAGCTTCCTAGCAAACAGCTGTATGTGTGCTTTGATGTATGTGTGCTTTGATGTATGTGTGCTTTGATGTATTTCTGTATAAGAAAGAAAGACACAGATTTGCTTAGGTTATTTTAACAATTTTACTAAGGATACATGCACAGAGAGGTTAAACACAGACAAAACAATGTAATAACAGAGAAACATTTCACCAGTGAAAAAAGCGTTAGCTCCACATATGCTTATAGTACCACTACATTCTAAATAATATCATTGATATGATCAAGATATTTGGTAAGGTAAAAACACAAGATTATCCATATTTCAATAAATAAAATGTAAGTACAACTTTTCAAAAGGAAATATATTTTGAAACTGTTCATCTAATGTGATATGTATTTGTTACAAAGAAATATTTGTCTTAATAAATAAATTACGAGTTGTAGACAAGTTGAGTAAGTTAAAGGCTAGACTGGCATTAACAGTGAAAAAGGTGAAGAATGAAAATAACCTGGACACGAGGAAACATATAATATTTAAACAGCTGTGCCTGGTTTTCTACAGAGCTCTACTAAGGATATAAGCCCTCATAGCAGATTTGAACTTTGGTATGTTGTTGGGCATGGGTGAGTGTCTCTTTGTGGAAAGAAGTCCTTCCTCATGATACGTTCAGGTCAGGTTCAGGGCTCCTCACCAGCAAAACAGTTCACAGTTTATTCACACACTCCATGTAGTGTGAGCTTTCTTATGAATGCTTAACATCCTAAAGTCACAGTCTCTTGGGACTTAAGAGTCGTCCTGTTTAAAAAAACCAGACAGAGAAAGTATTAAAGGTAATGCTATGGAATTGTTTCTTTGCCTGTAAATCATTGAAGAGTTGGTCGAGGCAACTTGTTCGTCTCATTCCCATTCAGGCAAGCATTAGAGAAATCATGCTAATAGCATTCTCTGGAAATGCTGTCCTGTCTCATGCTTTAATAATGCTATGATGCTTTTTTTCCATTCCCATTGTATTCACATTAGTCATATATGCACCTTTTTTTGCACTGGTGAAATTGTATAGTTAGAAGAAAGAAGAAAAGGTTTTGAAATATGTGCTTGTTACATAAAGCATGTTAATTTTTGGAGTACTACATATTATGAAAATGTAACCATCAATCCTTTGGTTCAAGCACTTGTCAATCACTTTTAGGAGTCTCATGTTAAGTGGAGATAAAAGAGATTTGCATTCCAAGGCATGCAAGGGTCTTCATAAACATTCAGTTAGGTTTCAAGCATTTCAAATCAAATCAAAGCTCTACCTTGTGTTGTTCTTCTGTCGTGATGGGAGGCGTAGGGAGTGACGTTTCCTCCTGGTGATAACATTGAAGAACAGATCAGAATATGACAGTGAAGGAGAGACTTTCAAAATAACACTCTCACAAAATCCATATGTGACGGCAACAAAAACAAGCAACCCCCCCCCCATACCATTTCTATATCTCCAGGTTGTGATAGTGGTTCTGAGGTTGTCAAGATAACCTAGGGGAATACAAAACCGAAAGGAAAGGGTTCTTTAGGTTAATACAACGTTTCCGGGTTGTGTTTAATATGTGTATATTAAATGTAAATACGTAAGATATAATGTTCAAATGACAGGACATTTTTACTAATTATTTTTGTAATACTTCAGCAATTGAGTGTGTTTCCACCTGTGCATCTATGTCTCTGTCTGTGGAGGACGTTAGAGGATGACTGAAGGATTCCACCAGTGTTTCTGAATGGGCAGGACTGTGTGTGGTTATTAGATCCTCCTACATCGAAAAACAGAAAGAGCATACATGTGTAAACTGTGCAGCAGTGAATTACTTTTGGTGATGATCAGTGCTACATAATTATTAACACAGCATTTGAAGCAAATGTACCTGTGTGTTGTTTTTCCTCTCCTGAGAGGCCAAGAGGACATCTGTAGGAAGTTCTTCCTGTTTAGAAAAATATATATATGTAACATTTAAACACCTGCAACCTACAACTACTCCAGTGACAATGTACAAAGCCGATCAGGTGGGCTGTTATGACACAGTAATTTATTCCTAATGATAAATTCAAGTAGTGGGTGTGGGCGCAAATGAGACGCTGAGAAAATCCCAATTTAAATGAGTATGACAGGTCTGTTAGCAAGAAGCCTCCCACCACGACAACGCTCCCAATCTGTAACAGCCCCACGTCATCAATCATCACTTTCAAATGAAGTTTCCCACTGTTCACACATTCATCGCAGCTGCTGCCTACCTCGTATTCATAGCTGTATTCTTCGCCATAATAAAACTCCTCTTCCTCTTCTTGCATGTCCTCATCAGTTGTCTTCAGAAAAAGGACACGTAACAATAATTAGAGGTAGATACTGTTACACATCATAACTTAAAATGTCTGGAAGAACACAATGCCAAGCGCTTAAAACAAAAAGGAGATTTGTTACCGTTATAATGAGAAGCACATGGACGTTGAGATAAATGCATGCTTTTATTTTTTACTAGCCACACCACGAATACTGGTTAATTATGTTTATTATATTTAAATAATGTCATTTTATTATGATTATTTTTAAAACATTTAAGCTGTTATTTACACATATAATGTCATGTTAATGTCATGTTAGCGGCAGCCAGTGTCTTCGTTTAAACTTTGCAGTGTTAGATACACGTGTTAGTTGGTAGTTTATTTTTTGTTTAGTTGGGACAAAAGTGGAGTGAAGTTTGGAGGTTAAGATGGGACCCCTTAAAGGACATTTACCAGGCGTTGTCTCTGCCTCTTATGTCTTCCTTTATTTCCTTTGCCCTGGTTAAGAAGTTCACAGTCGGAGAGAAAAAAGATAAAGGTTTCTCATGCTTTAGACGTTGATGATCAAGTATTAAATTATGAGGTTGATACTGTAAGTTGAGGGAGATATTTACGAGGGAGATAAGAAGTTAATGAACACAAATTAATGCAACATTAAAAGTTCTTAGAGTTAAAGTTATCAAATGGTTTAGACCTATTTATATAAGAGCACACCCTTGGGTTTGCATGTTTCAGCCCACATTTATTACAAATTAAAAGTGGATTTTCATGAATTAGTGGAATTATTATTGAATGTATTGAGCTAAAACATGCAACACTAGGGTTCTCCTTCCATTTTAAACATTTAAGTTATCAAGAATCAAAAATAATCAATCAAACAGCAAAATCTCAACAACAAAATTGTATTTTATGTTTTTTGTTGGATATACAAGATGAACAATAATGAAAAATGTGTGTTTCTACTCAGTCAATGGCAAACAATCGTAGAGATTCGTAGTTGTCAATGGCAGCTTTACCTTCCCACGTTCCCTGTTCTTCTTCTTTTGTCCTGAGTTCTTGTTCCGGGAGTCCTCCTGAGTGAGGAGAACAGTCCCTGCCACAGTATCCGGTAACTCTGAAACCTCCTGAGACACATACAGTGGAGGAAATAAGTATTTGATCCGCTGCAGATTTTGTAAGTTTACCCACTTACAAAGAAATTAACAGTCTGTAATTTAATGGTAGGTTTATATAAACAGTGAGAGTAAGAATATCAAAAAGAAAATCCAGAAATTGACATTATATAAAAGATACAAATTAATTTGCAATTAACTGTAAGAAATAATAATTTGATCCCCTTGCAACCAACAAGAATTCTTGCTCTCACAGACGGTTACATAAGTCCTCTTCCTTTAAGAAAGTACTCCTAATACCAACTTGTTACCTGTATAAAAGACACCTGTCCACAGAATCAATCAATCAGATTCCAACCTCTCCACCATGGGCAAGACTAAAGAGCTGTCTAAGGCAAGGCAAGGCAAGGCAAGTTTATTTATATAGCACCTTTCAACACAAGGCAATTCAAAGTGCTTTACAAAAATGGAAGACATTAAGAAAATGGCATTTAAAATCAGTCATTAAAAAGAAAAGATAATAAAATAAACATTAAAAGAAAAAATACATGGATAAAAGTTACAGTGCAGTTTAAGATGTGAATAGTTCAATTAAAAGCAGCGGCAAAAAGAAAAGTCTTCAGCCTGGATTTAAAAGTAGTAAGAGTTGCAGCGGACCTGCAGGTTTCTGGGAGTTTGTTCCAGATATTTGGAGCTTAATAACTGAACGCTGCTTTACCATGTTTAGTTCTGACTCTGGGGACAGAAAGCTGACCAGTCCCTGAAGACCTGAGAGTTCTGGATGGTTCATAATTTAGCAGTAGATCAGACATGTATTTTGGGCCTAAACCATTCAAAGCTTTATAAACCAGCAACAATATTTTGAAATCTATTCTTTGACACACAGGAAGCCAGTGTAAGGACTTCAGAACAGGAGTGATGTGATCCACTTTCTTAGTGTTAGTGAGGACTCGAGCAGCGGCGTTCTGAATTAGCTGCAGCTTTCTAATAGATTTTTTAGTGAGACCTGTAAAGACACCATTGCAGTAGTCGAGTCTACTGAAGATAAAAGCATGGACAAGTTTTTCCAAATCCTGCTGTGACATTAGTCCTTTAATCCTAGATATGTTCTTTAGGTGATAGTAGGCTGATTTAGTAACTGTTTTAATGTGACTGTTGAAACTCAGGTCAGAGTCCATGACTACACCTAGATTTCTGGCTTTATCTGTTGTTTTGAACATTGCAGACTGAAGCTCAGCGCTAACTTTTATACGTTCTGCCTTGGCTCCAAAAACCATTACCTCAGTTTTATCTTTGTTTAATTGGAGAAAGTTCTGACACATCCAGTCATTGATTTGTTCAATGCACTTACTCAGTGTTTGAATTGGAGCATAATCTCCTGGTGAAATTGTTACGTAAATTTGTGTGTCATCCGCATAGCTATGGTAACTTATTTTGTTGTTTTTCATTATCTGAGCCAGTGGTAGCATGTAGATGTTAAAGAGAAGAGGCCCCAAGATGGAGCCTTGAGGTACCCCACATGTCATATTTGTCAACTCAGATGTGTATTTACCTATAGAAACAAAGTTTTTTCTGTCCTTTAAGTAGGACTCAAACCAATTTAGAACTGTTGCCGAAAGTCCCACCCAGTTTTCTAGTCGGTCTAGTAATATGTTGTGGTCAACAGTGTCAAACGCAGCACTGAGGTCTAAGGACCTCAGGGACATCATTTATACCTTCACAAGGCTGGGATTGGCTACAAGACCACCAGAAAGCAGCTCGGTGAGAAGGAGACAACTGTGGGTGTGATTATTCAGAAGAATAATGTGTGTTTCTAAATGGAAGTAACAGAAAATGAGCATTAATCGCCCTCGGTCTGGGGCTCCACACAAGATCTGGCCCCGTGGGGTATTGAGGGATCAGCCAAGAACTACACAGGAGGAACTTGTTAGATCTCAAGGCAGCTGGGACCACAGTCACCAAGAAAACTATTGGTAACACACTACACCATAATGGATCAAATCCTGCAGCGCCTGAAGGTCCCCTGCTCAAGAAGAACATGAAAGGCCCGTCTGAAGTTTGACAATGAACATCTGAATGATTCAGAGAAGGCTTGGGAGAAGGTGATGTGGTCGGATGAGAGAAAAATCAAGATCTTTTGCATCAACTCGACCCGCTGTGTTTGGAGGAAGAGAGATGCTGACTATAACCCCCAGAACACCATCCCCACAGTCAGGCCTGGAGGTGGAACCATTCTGCTTTGGGGGTGTTTCTCTGCTAAGGAGACAGGAGGACTTCCCTGCATCGAGGAGAGGATGTACGGGGCCACGTACCGTACCGTAGGGGTCATGGAGGGGTCTTCCAGCAGGACAATGACCCTGAACATACGGCCAAGGCAACACAGGAGTGGCTAAAGAAGAAGCACATTTAGGTGATGGAGGGGCCTAGCGAGTCTCCGGACCTTAATCCCATAAAAAATCTGTGGAGGGAGCTGAAGCTTCCAGATGCCAAGCATCAGCCTTGAAATCTTAAGAATCTGGAGAGGATCTTCAAATAGGAGTGGACCAAAATCCTCCCTGAGATGTGCACAAACCTGGAGACCAACTACAAGAAGCGTCTGACCTCTGTGTGTCCAACAGGGGTTTCTCCACCAAGTACTAACACATGTTCTGCAAGGGGATCAAATACTTATTTCCCACAGTTAAAGGCAAATACATTTTTATCTTTTATATAATGTCAATTTCTGGATTTTCTTTTTGATATTCTTACTCTCACTGTTTATATAAACCTACCATTAAAATGACAGACTGTTCATTTATTTGTAAGTGGGTAAACTTACAAAATCTGCAGGGGATCAAATACTTATTTCCTCCACTATGTATCAATTTTAATTGTTTGTGATCACATAATTATTTTAGAGCTTTAACACTTCAATGTCTTTAATGGAAAAACATGTTTTTTCTCACATCTTGTGATACTTAGCCATAGGATTGATACCTGAAGCAACAAGCTGCCATGAAATATTCATTTTTTGTTTATGATAATATATTTTTAATGTTAAAGAATGTTTAGAAATTGCCAGTTACAACTTTTACAACTTAATTCAAGTAGCTGTAAAATTATCCTAATTAATTTCTTCCAAAAATAAAACTAATTTCCTTTTTTAATGTACTCAGCATGTGTTAAGCACTTAGTAAAAGCCTGCTTTTAAGTTGGCGTTCTTCATTGTAAAATGTCCTTACCTCCTGGGTCGTAGTATAATTGAAAGTTGAGTTGTTAACAGTCAGATTCATTTTGTGTGAAGATGCGTTCTCACTATCCCCATCTACTATCTTATTCCATCTTCTCTTTAATATGGACTCAGTCCTGTCCATATCCTGATCTCCGTTCAGTGTGGTGGCGCTCCATAAAGTCGGACCCTCTGCGGCTTCTATTAAAGGGTCCTTCGTGGCAAAAGACAAAATAAGTGTAAGTGAAAGTATATCAAATGTTTGGTAATACTTTATATTAAGGTACACAAATTAACCATCAACTAGTTATTAATTAACATGCATATTAGCAGTATATTGGCTCTTTATTAGTCATTATAAAACACTTATTAATGCCTTATTCTACATGACCATATTCTACAAGTAATAAGCCATTAGTTGAGAGTCTTTCCTCAATAACCCTCTAATTAGTGCTTATTTATTGCAAGTAAGGAAGTTGTTGTACATGAGTTTTGGTCTTAATATGCTCTGCTCAATATGGGCTTAATAAGGCAGTAGTACCACAAGAATAGTAATTCTCCCATAATAACACTTAACAAATATGATCTATTCTTATGTAACAAGACATGAAACTATAAGTGTTAATTGTGTCTAAATAACTCAAAATTAAGTATTTCTATCCATGTTTTAACTGGTACCTTTAACCTGAGGTCAAATCATTTCAGGGACAATATACACTTCACAGTGGGTCAAATGCTGAGTGTGAACCATTTTGTATGTGTTGTATCGTGACCTGGTTGAAGCTTGATGGTCTCACAGAAATACGAAATATTGAGAGTCAAAGTGGAAATGTTGAGGTAACTTACAACTATCAAAGATTCTGCAAGATGTCCGTCTAACTTGGGGTCTACGATGGTGTCCTTTTTCAGTGCCTGACTGGTGAGGTCGAACTTCACTGAACTCTGTCCAGACAACACATTTAGGACAGGAGAGAGCTGATAAGATTCACACGTGATTGTGACAGTTTAAATAATGCATGGGAGTTGAGGGGAAAATAATCAATATTCCAACAGCAAGCATCTGTTGACTGCTGTTCTGCAAACATTAATGTTTTGACTAAAGGCGCAACATGGAATTCAACTTTTTAAAGACCCCTCACACACTTTTCCCCCAGAGTATACGTACTGTGTACTCAGTGATGATGTTGGAGGTGTGAGTTTTTGTGTTTTCATTTGTTTTCTGGGAGGTGCCAAGCACACGAAGCAGCTCCTCTATTCCATCCTGCAACAGCCTGTCAATTAAAGCCTTCAACAAAGGCAGCTGAGGAAATAGAAACATTGTTGAGAAGGTCAAACTGGTGTTCTGTTACAAATGTTATCAACCTTAAAATGTGGCCGTTGTCCTGCTCAGAGCTCACCCTTATGCCATAGTCTTCAAACATCACTTCAATTTCCTAAAGAAGAGAAAAAACATATTATTCAAAGTGCAAAAAAGAGAACATTTATCTAAGAGGAATCACTACTGCCTGTATTCACCTTCATCTCTATTGATTGTCCACGAGCTCCCGCAACGCCCTACAGAGACATTAGTGTGAAAGACAGTAAAGCATATAGCATTTGAAGTTTATTTCTAATTGCATATGTTTTTGAGGGATAACAATCAAATACTACCTTCTCTCCTTTCAGCCCTGTTTCTCCTTTATCACCCTGAAAAGACACAAATAAGCTACACAACCAACATTCCTTTTTTTTTTTTAAACAATTGTTTCAGTCTGAAGCGCATGACCATCTTACCTTCATTCCCGGTGAACCCTAAACACACAGACACAGAGGAGCAACACATTGGAACATGCATCTTCTAATGCATGACATCAAGCTTGCCATATCTGTTTGCAGATAGGGGCACGACTCATTGCAACCCACAATAAAAGCACTACAGTCATCGCTAAATGATGACTCAGATGCCGTGGAGGCCAGAGATAAAGCATGCCATGCAATAGCTAAATTAATGTGCCATTCATAAGCTATACATATCCTGAAGTGTGTTCAGTGTAGGCATCAAACTCACAGTAGCTCCTGGAGGACCCATTGGGATCGGAAATGCTTCTCGGATTTCATCATTGGTGGCACCCTGGGAACGGATCCATGTTACAATCAGTACAGTTTAGGTTGCCAGGGTTTTTAGCTTCCCTGCTTATTAATTATTTAAATTTTTACCTCCGATGTGACAAGCACCTGCCTACCCGGCAAACCTGGAGGCCCTGGTTCCCCCTTACTACCATCTTTACCCTGTGAAAGAAGAAAAACGCCTTGAAGTTACTCAGTTTTCTCACAAAATGTATATTTGTTTATCTCAAAACCACTTACATTGCCCCCGCCGTCTCCCTTGTCCCCCTGGAATGAGAGGAAAGTTAACACACGTTTTCAAAACAATAGCTTCATAATTGTTTCAATTGGTTGCAGTCAAATTAAAGGACCTTTTTGCCGTCATCTCCCTTTTCTGCTCTTTCTCCCTGTGAAATTAGAATACATTTATATTATAGCTCAGTGGTTAAGCATAAAAGTATCACAATGCATAGCGTTGTAATTGTTGGACAATTATGGTCCTTACATCTTTTCCTGGCAGGCCCCTCTTCCCATCAATGCCAGGTCTGCCCTGTAGAGAAGAGGACATTAAGAAAATTACAATATCTGGAGATATCTTTCAGGTTGATTATCATAATCATACTAATTGAATTTAACACCTGAAACATCAATGTAATATGAAATCTTGGCTTTCATATAACCATTAGAGGCATGTTAAGGATGGATATCCTATTCATGTTTCAGCCACAGGCACCATGATTCAGTCTGATACTCACTGGAGTTCCTGGTAAACCAGGTATTCCAGCAATCCCAATCCGTCCCTGGTCACCTTTCTGTTCACATGCACACATAAAAACATTCAAGCAAATCATCTCCCTTATGGGAAGTTTACCATGTATGAACAGTATACAATTACAAAAACAATATTGGAGCACTCACCAGACTAGGCTCCCCTTTTGATCCCTTGTCACCCTGCAGTTAAATATGAAACATCTTATGAGTAAGCTGAAACTGTATAATAATACAAGTAGAACTGTAATAAAGTTTGTACAACCTTATCTCCTGGTTTTCCTGGAAAACCATCAAGTCCACCTCTTCCAGAACCACCCTGCAAAGCAAACAGTTCATGATTTTAACACATACACATCCCCACAGAAACAAACAGTCACACAATCAATGTGATTTAAATTAACACACATACCACTGATGGTCCTGGTAATCCAGGTTTCCCCTCTGGACCCTGAGAAGAGAGAACAAATATTCAAATAAACATTCAAGAAAGCTTGATTATTATTTTCTCCTACCAAATACAACAAATAGATTGAATTATAAATCAATTTTTGCAGATTAACTTTCTGACAACTAGCTTATCAGTTAATAGACTGATAGATTCAGCTCTGATTTGAATGATTGCGCTGTCAATCGATGGGCATTTTGATCAGCATGCATCTGAACTTGAAAATGAAATATGACGTGTGATCAAATACTCACGCTTGGTCCAGGCAGACCTGTTTCACCTCTCAACCCAGGCTGACCAGGATTTCCTGGTTCACCCTGAAGATTAGAAAAGAAGAGAGCAGGGAAGCTTCAATTCACTCATGAAAAAACAAACAAGTTAACTGGATAAAATAAGGCATGCTATTCTATAAATTACCTTAATCACTCTGGTCATTACGTTGTTGTCTCCAACAATCTGGACAAAATCAGAAATCAAAAGTTAACTTGGTAATTGATGGACAATTTCAGCGGATAAAGTCACAAGGCAAGGCAAGGCAAGTTTATTTATATAGCACCTTTCAACACAAGGCAATTCAAAGTGCTTTACAAAAAATGAAAGACATTAAGAAAATGGCATTTAAAATCAGTCATTAAAAAGCAAACATAATAAAATCAACATTAAAAGAAAAAATACATGGATAAAAGTTACAGTGCAGTTTAAGATATGAATAGTTCAATTAAAAGCAGCGGCAAAAAGAAAAGTCTTCAGCCTGGATTTAAAAGTAGTCAGAGTTGCAGACATTTATTGTCCTATAAGGGGGGGTGACGTTTTATTGTTCTTTATAAGCTTCGTTGCCACCAATGCCTTTGTCAAACATGACTGAACTGATGAGAAGCTGTCAAAAAACATAATAGAGGTTTGTTTACTTGTGCTCCCGGAGGTCCAGGTTTTCCCTTTGTGTGACAACGGCAGCACGATCAAAAGAAGAGCACAATAAAACACAGTTAAAAATCTAACATGTCACACTGCTAAACACAATCCATATTGGCAACACAAAGAGGAAATAGTAGGTGCACTGAAGGGTGGCACACACAAAAAGCTAAACGTAATTAGTTAACATATCACATATCAAATCATGAAGTCACAAAGGGACAGTGACTGACACAGAAGAATAACCAGAAGGCGTCAACCAGGAGAAACAATAGAGATAGAGAGAGTGAGATGGTGAATACAAACAAACCTGATCTCCTTTATCCCCTTTTTTTCCATCAGCACCCTTTCAACAAAATAGGAAATCAATGGTTATCATTAGGCATTGCAGTTTAAGCTCAATTGTTACATTGATTTATGGTGACATTCATTCTACAAAATAAACTGATCATTAAGGTGTTGTTCAGAGGAGACATAACTAAATTGTAAGGGGTCCTATTAATCTCATTTTCAGGTTCATATTTGTACTTAGTGTCTCTACTCGTCTACTGTGACATGTCTCCATGCTTTAATGTTCAAAAAGCTCTTTATTTTTCTCATACTGCCTGTGCTGCAGCACCTCTTTTCACCCTCTGTCTGGAACCAGAGCCCAGCCTGCTCTGATTGGTTAGCTGGCCGGATCTGTTGTGATTGGTCAACTGCTTAGAGATGTCCCGCCCCTTAGCCTATCACATACAATGTGTTGGAGTGCATGAATGGAAAGAATGAACTTACAAACAGGCCAGGAGTTCCAGAATTTCCTTTTTCACCGGGGTCACCTGGTCGTCCTGGTAATCCAAGTGGACCCTGAACAACATTAACAGAGGAATTAAAAAGAGCATATAGCCTTGTATTGCTATAAACATGTCAAATGACATACTGTGAGCAAATGTGTGTAAAATTGCTGCAATGTGATGTTTGCTCAGCAGGAGTTCTGGCAGACATTTGGAGCTTATATATTTTTGAGCCCACTTTAACTATATATAACTAGATACAATAATAATTGGCACACTTCAGCATAAGAGCTCTGAAAATGGGGTTGAAAATCAAGAGAAATAGAAAGGCAATATAAAACAGCAAATCTTATTAAAATATTACATAACAAATGTACTGATTAAGTGACAATGTCAGTATATTGATTGGCCGATCTCGAGTACACGTTTTAATCTTTTTGTATATTTCTGCCTTTAATGTTAGAAAACGCAATATAAATACCCTAATTCCTCTGTCACCAGGCTCTCCATGTGGTCCTAGTTCACCCTGTGAAGTCAAAGCAATGTAATTATTTAAAGCTGTTATATTTAGTATATATACTCCTGAGAAACAGCTACATCAAAACAAACCAAAGCACCAACTAAACATGACTGTACCTTAGAGCCTTCGTCTCCTTTATTTCCAGGTGTACCCTAGACAGAAAGTCAACAGTAATTGTCACCAATATTACTATGCAAAAACATACATTTAAATACGTTTGGACTTTTGTCGCATTCTGCATGTTTTATGTTTCAAGTAACATACTGAGCTGTCTCCTTTTAAGTAAATGATTGTAAAAATAAATGTGAATTGTGCTGTATCAATGCTGTAACAGCCACTCAGGATTTACTTACATCTTTACCTCTTAATCCTGGTACTCCAGGTTTGCCGGATAACCCGATAGTCCCTTTGTCACCTTTAAAGCCATCATGCCCCTGGACAAACACATGACTTCTGTTTTAGACATATTAACAACTTCAGTAAACAATTAAGTAGGTTTCAGGGGTTTTAATAGTTTCAATGGACTTTTACCAGAACACACAACATTCATTATATAAAACTAATTAAAGACCGGAATTTCTTTAGCCACTAGGGGGCGCCTTTAGTCGAAAACAGCATTTACATCTTGAGCAGACATGGGTTGCGGTCGAATTGTCAAAAAATCAGCTCCTATCGTCTTTGTCTATCGACTCTTCCTTGACCTCTGTGTGAAACGTCAGGGGGTTAAGGAATAGTGGTTAGGAGAATTCAAAAGGACTTAGGAAAAGACGACCGGGATTCAAGAGAATCCGACTGCACTTACACTATCGACGTATTTGCGCAAGCGGTTGTTATCAATGTGCGTCTGCTGTGGGGAAACTACAGATCTCTGTACAGAGGACTGCTGTAAGCGCACCTAGCTACTTTGCAACTTTCGCTATTTCATGATACGCATTTCCGTGAACGGCCGAATGTTGTGTCACGGTAAAAGTTGCGGCTGCAAGGTATTGTGGGACAGCATTTTCTCCTTTCCTTTCGTAAAGGAAGGTCCAGTGTTTCCTAAGCTAAAGGAGGTTATAAAGGAAGTTTCAAAGCTCCTTTCCTATCATCTAGAGCAGGGGTTCCCAACCTTTTTTCCCAAGAGCCCCCCCCACACACACACACAAGGGGAGGGGCGCAACAGCGGTAATTAAAGTTTAAAAGTCTCAAAAATGCTACAACTACTGTCACAAACTGGATGAATGTGAAGTAGGATGAAAGCGTAATTAAGGAGCACTATTGGAGTGACTTTGATGGTTATTGGATTGAGGATTAATTCATTTGGATTCCCGCTGTATGAAGAAATTAAAGGACGGCGCAAGTGGAAACAATTCACAAAGGGATTAAACTGTTTAAAACACATGCTCAAAGTAAGCCGGATTTTGCCGATGTGTTTATGTGGATTCAAAAGTCGTAAATAATCTACAAAATGGAGGAGACCGATCTGATCGGAGCAACTGTGACAAATAATCTGAAACCGGCATGGACAATGACTATGTTTTAAAAATGCGCTTATCCAGAAAAGCCTGGTTTGGACACCTTACGGGCAGAAGAAACATTTCTATTAAAGAAATAATTATACATTACTGTCTTTTTATGCCTATAATAGCTACTAACTTGAATTTGTATTCAAATTAATTAATCAATTGTTTTTTATATTTTATTGTAATGTAGAGACAAGGCTTTTTTTTATGTTCCAGGTTGGGAACCACTGATCTAGAGAATTCGAAAAGCTCTTATCATGGCTGCCACTGAGGTACTTCCCCGTCATTTCACTCCGTTAGGAAGGTTCCTATGCTAAACTGACAATTTGAAAGCAACCATGGATCATCATTTGGAGTCATGTTTCCGGACATTTGACTATTACAAGTCTAATTTAAACCCCTATTTATGTTTTGGTCTCCTCCAACCATCATCTTTTGGTTGAAAACAGCTGCTGTGACTGTAAACGAGGTTGATGCAACTAGTGAAGTGAACTAAAACAGCAAAATCTTAAAAAGCTAAAATACTTTTAAACTTGTAAGCTTTAGGGTTCCTGCAAAGTAGGGCAATAATTATCTGTGTATTTCATTACTAGTGACCGTTTTCACCTCACACATAGTCATTTGTGTCATTGTTAATATACACATTTGAATAAGAGCTATAAGCAAGTAGTCAGGGTTCACTTACTTTTTGTCCTGGTTTTCCAGACAAACCAACATTTCCCTGTAATTGATAAACACATAAATATAATAGCAATAAACATCTGTTTTCTGTTTCAGTATTATGATAACAAGGTGTAAATGTTGAATAAGTCATTTTACTTTATCAGGTGACTCACCCTCTCTCCATTTTCTCCCTTGGGTCCCCGCTGTCCTGGAATCCCAAAACCAGGACTGCCCTGAACACATCAAAACAAATCATACCTATGAATGTAGTTTACTAAACAACTATTAGTCTGTCCTAGTATCAGTGAATAAGACAAATGACAAAATGCAGAAATAAAAAATGAAAGCATGATGCTGAGTATTTTTCATTATTAACCTTATCCCCTTTGGTGCCTTGGTCACCCTTTATTCCCTGGGGGCCTGTAGGGCCGACTGGACCAATGTCTCCCTGACAAAAAGCAGAAGATATGAACACACATACAAGAAACGTCAATCAACGTGATTCTCGTCACCAGGCCAATCATCAGTTTCAAAACAAAGCTCTTCACTTTAAATGGCACCCTGTGGACCGACATTAAAGAGGTCCCATTCAGTGGAGCGTTCATTCCCACTTCAAAAGCTAATGAGAGAAAATCTTAATTGTGTTTGATAAGCGGACCCAGACGACTGAGTGTACCTCGACCAATTAATTAACAATGTCCCGACAGAATAAAACACTAAGAGAATCACTTCCCTCTGGCTGAATAACTTATTTTAAGCCAGTTATAAATACTATTTTTTGACGTAACATTTATGACTGTGGCAAATTCACCCAGGTTTGATCATGCTGCCAGTTTAAATATTTTGACTGAAAAAAAAAAAAACGTTCCAGGGAGTAAGACTCTTCTCTTTCTTAGACTTTTAATAATAACCTTTTATTATGCAAATATTGAATGAAGCCAAGTGTAATTGTATTGGTTGAGCAAAAGCTCAGTAGGTGGAGGCAAACATTTAAATATACACAGCTCATCCAGCACAACTATTATTGAATTGAAAATATATAGAGGTGTGTACAAATATAGAAACAAAGCGATGCATGCTGCCACAGAAAAGCATTTTCAAGTTGGTTACTTACCCTGGCACCCTTTTTTCCAGTTGGGCCAATTATCTGTTTGCAAAATAAAGTGTGTGATTATTAAATGCTTATTTTTCTAAAATTTAAATGAGTTAAATATTGTTCTTACACCCTTGGCAGGATCTCCAGGGACTCCTCTAGGACCCTCATCTCCTTTTAACCCCAAAGGCCCTGTCAGTCCCTGAAAAAATGATCAAATAAATAAAAATATTTGTTATTCTCAAATTATTTTTAGCATTTATAAAACTAAAATATCCTTTAAACATGAACCATCACTCTCTGCTATCATCTGTTAACAAACACTTTCTTAGCTGTTGTTTTCAAAGCTAAACTTTTTGTGTAAAAAAAACACAAACTATACTAACTGAAGATAGGATAATGGACCTCATGACGTCATGTTTTTGTGATTGTCGCTTCGAAAAGGACTACGCTGCCTAAAATTAAAAACCAACGGTGCAGGACAATTTGGCCCATTTGATAATGATACTCACTGAGGGTTGAACATTTGGCACATGATCGTATGTAATCATAACCATCTCTGATAGGGCAAATCTTAAAAAATGCAGAACAAAATTGCTTCCTCATCATTTGTTCATTTATATCATCATCCAAATCTTTGTATGGAGAAATAACGTATCAAATAGGGTATTGCTGGCATTTCTAATCATTCGGTCCCAGTTGGCCCTGAATAAATGTACAGTTAAATTAAAGTGGATTTTGACCAGTAGATTATAGTGCAACCTGGGAAATGATGTCACGTTACAGTGCAGGCAGTATCTAAATATATAAGTATTTATTTTTAATATTTTGTATTAGTACAATATGCAACCTCAAGCTTGCTAAGATTTGTATATTTGTGTATTTTCAAGATTTAATCTTCACTTACTGAGGTTCCTTTTGGTCCTATTGGTCCTATCTCCCCTCGTTCTCCCTAAGAGATACAAAAAACATGTACTTTACATTGAAAACTGCACGCACATGCATGCACACATTCATGTACAAACATCATTATTTTATGACGTCAATTTTAATTAGACAATTATAAAGTCCTGGCTAAGTTAAATTGAGAATGTTAATTATAAAGTGATTATTTTCAGCTTAATGAAGAAAGAGCGCACATGTGTGTGGGATGAACTCACCTTGTCACCTTGCTCCCCTTTGAACCCCTTCTTTCCCTGTAGGTAAAAATAAACAACTGTCTCTGAATTCTTTCATCATAGATCCTTTCAAATAATCACCCTCAATTAAACAGGTTTTTATCTAATTAGACTGGATTTCTATGCATCTGAAGGTAAAACATGCAGAAACTCAATGCATGTTATGCAACAGGAGATAATGATGAAATGCAAACCCGAGGTCCGATGATTCCTTGGATGCCCTGCTCGCCAAGATCACCCTTTAAAGTAATTCACAAATTACATATGTTTTATTTTAATTAAAACATTTCGAATTCTGAGGGTTCAAATGTTTCTTTCATGTCTGTTACCTTTGGGCCAACTGATCCAGTAAAGCCAATATTTCCCTGTAAAACAATAGGGATTTCATATTGAGGCTGTGGACACTGAACAGAAACTTTTTAATATCAGAACCATGACAAATTATATATTATTTACCTTCTCTCCCTTCTCTCCCAGAGGACCCTGAATACCTTGTATGCCAATTCCTTCCACACCCTGGAATAAAATGAATATTTATCAAGCCAGTTACTCAGTCGCATTATCATATTTTTTTAGTAGACTGGTTCAAAATGTGTCATTTCCTTTATCAAGCAAACGTTTACCTTCTCTCCTTTCTGACCTGAAAATCCTGGCACCCCATCAATGCCAATGGGACCTGGCAAACCTGCAATACCCTACAGTAGTTTGAATGTGTGTGTGTGTGTGTGTGTGTGTGTGTGTGTGTGTGTGTGTGTGTGTGTGTGTGTGTGTGTGTGTGTGTGTGTCATCACATTTTGTGTGTTAGCGACGGCGAGCGAGAAACAGAGAGAGAAAACACTTTCAGGAGGCAATTCAGAATGATCTTAAAATGTAGATATGCAATGTCTTTTGCCACTTCTAATCATTTTATCAACAACACACTTACATCTCTTCCCAACTCTCCTTTGTCTCCTTTCACTCCCTGTTTCCCACGTAAACCCTTTTGGAAATAATGGAAGTGTTATCAGATGGAAATTAAACAAATAACTTTTCATACCTGGTAACATCTGATTCTGAGGCAGTAAATATGTAAATGTAGGTGATGTTTATGATTCATGATATGAATGCTGTTATTTAAGTATTCTAGTGCAACCTTTTAATAAGGCTAGTACAGGGATGAATAACAGCATCATACTTACTTTCTCTCCCGGCTCACCAGAATCTCCCTACAAAGAGCGGACAGCAACTGCGATTAGACATTTTGTGACACTCCATACTGAGTATTGATAGCTAATGCACCTGCAGAATTCCAACTTTATTGAGTTGTTATTTTCACGGTTGAATGCAGTTATTGTAAATCATCAGCTAAACTAAATGTAATGTTATGTAAGGTAATGAACACTGTAGGTGGGTCTGACATTACAAGATGTAATATGATACTTAAAGCATTTTGGAATCATCATGATGAAGATACAGGTTATATTGTGGTAGTGTTCACAGTTTGCACATTGTGCAGCTTTTCTTTTTACTTTGAATTTTGAAGCTGATCCACATTACCTTGATAGTTATTCCTGGTGACCCCGTTGGTCCGGGCTGGCCAGGACGGCCTGGAGATCCATTGATCCCTGGTATACCAGAAGACCCCTGGGGACCCTACGACATGCAGTGAATAATATTTAAGTTCCCCTTAACTTCACTGTGGTAAAACTCCAAAACATGGTTTTTTGAGGACTCACCGAAGATCCTGGCTCTCCTTTCCTTCCAGGAACGTAATTTGAGTCTGCGCCTGCGATGACATAACCGGGCTCTCCCTAATAGAAACACACAAAAAGGGGATAAACAACCAAGCAGTTCCATCCTGTGTTGTTGTTGAAGCACTAGAATCATTTTGCACAAGTTTATACATCCAGCAGACAACTGTGTCATGATTTCAAGTCTCAGCAGAAAGCAATCAGTCTAAATCAAATGCACATGTTAGACTTACTCTCTCTCCTCTCTGTCCCTTTGGACCAGTGGTTCCAGGTAGACCCTGTTATGGAAAGAAACACGAGAAAGTGATCATTGGACATTCATACAAATAATATTGAACAGTTCATTATTTTGTTTAGATATGTAGAACATTGAAATGTTTAAGGGTGAGGTGTCCCGGTGGTTCCGAGATTCTCTGATACCAACCATGTCAAGTAATCACATTCTCTTGTGCACGTCACCGCCATTTTTCACCCGTTTTAATAGAAATCAAATAATTTGTATAGCATATTCATAAATCTGCTGTTAAATTAAGTTAAGTTCCAGGTCTCCATTCAAAGACAGGACATCAAAGTTGTATGATCTGATTTTTAGTCAGCAGACATAAGATTTCGTCTCATAAATGTATTTTTGATGTCGGTCTTACCATATCACCTGATATCCCTTGAGCTCCCTGAAAAAAGGACAAATATAATTTTCAGACTGCCGTTGAGATAAATAAAATAGATTTTAAAATAGTTTTTTTTCTTTTTCTGAATGAGGTTACCCGTTGGCCGGCAGAACCGGGTGGTCCAGTTCTCCCTGGTCGTCCTGGGAACCCAGGTATACCATCTGTTCCTGAAAGCCCCTGTCAAATTCAAGTTTTCATAGAAGAGTTATAAGAAAGGATGCAGTCAAAATGAAAGAGTAATTTAAACCATATTTTAATATTGTTGACATACATTCATGCTTCATACATAATAAAATGTATAATAGATAAAGCATAAAGACAGCAGATGGGATTTGACAATAAATGATGAGAATTATGGTAGAGTGTATTGTTGTGTATTTGTGTGTCTAAGTTGATTCTTACCCTCTCTCCCATCTCTCCTTTGGTAGAAGTGAAAGGATCAAACTGTCCCGGGCTTTGCCTAAATCTCTACATAACAACACAAAGACTACAAGTTATTCTCAAGGTTAATAATCAAGAACATAAATGAAATAAAAAGCAATAAGGGTATATTAGGACAGAGGGTACAATGGATAGAGAATGTAAATGTCCAAGGTGCAGCAAAGTATTATCACTTAACAGATACCACAAAGTAGAAAAGAAAACTTGATAATACATACCAGACCTCCGAGACCAGAACCATCTCCCTGAAAGAATGAGAGAAGGAAAATAAATAACACTTACTTTGCGGGCCTTTCTAAATCAATTTAAAGGTAAACACATTTTTACTCACCCGTTCACCTTTCTGGCCCTGGATAAAAAAACAAATTATATGATCAATAGTTATTAAATAATCATGAGAAGAGGTAATGTATAACACGAGAAGCTCAGATTAAATGTGCACCTATCAGTAAATATAAAACCAGCTTGCAAATTAAATAAAATCAGATTGTTCTGCTGTTTACTCTTTTTGAACAAAATGCAATACCAATATCTACGTGTATTTATATTTTCTTGTTGTTATTTGTACCCTCTCAAACATTTGATTGAGTATGATAATGATGATGACAACATTGATTTTGAAAGTGAGGACCAACCTTCATACACTGGGAGGAACAGGGACCCTGAGGCTTAAGCAGCTCCTCTGGGTCTTCAGTCGGGGTGTCCAACTGAGCAGCCTGAAAACAGACACAAGGAAATAGGAATTCATTACTGACTGGTCAAATATAGAATGAATTGGTAGAGATGGCTGCGTAACATCCTCCAAAGCTCTTACATCAAGATGAAGTCAAGACCATTAAAGTGTTCCTACAGAGTCTGTTGTGAGTCAATTAAAAAACTGATTACAAGGGTTTAATGTAATAAGTTGTCACCATGCATGCATGACCAACTCCAGGGGGGGTTGAGAACCTCTCCTACACATGTTCCATTAACTTTACATGTGCCACTTTCGTAAATGAGTATCACCTTAAACACATCTTGGCCAATTGTAGAGTTTGGCTTCATTGCACGCATGAATAAAACTAAGCGTACAATGAAAGAATGGAAATAATGATAAAGGCAATATTTTAGTTTTTTCATGTCTTGCCTCATCATTCAGTTTGAACTCGGAGAGAAGTTCCTCACTACACATCATATTGATGAATTCTCTCTCTATGGAGGGGAAGTCGTCAAAGGTCGGTGAGTAGAAGATATTTTTGTAGCTAGTGGGAGCTGCTATCTTATTCAGCTCCTCCATGTCTGCATTAGAAACTCCAACGGCCAGGACACTGACACCTAGAGAGACACAAAGTAAGAACATGACATTTTCTATGATTTCAACCTGGTTTACAATTTTTTGCTACAGTAAAAATTATTAGCATCACATTTATGGAGGATGTACAACATGTTAACTGACCTAGAGCCCGTGCAATTCTAGAGGGTGGCACCACATTATCCTGAGCCCTGCCATCCGTAATCAGAACCAGAACATGGGCCACATCCTGTCTCATCCCCAAGGACTCCTGAAACAGTTCCTGCAGGACGTAACTGATGCCTTTTCCTGAGGGTACACAAAAGTATTAAGAGCAAATTAGGAAACTTTTGGAAGAATATTTACTGTGATAAGTGCTGGTAGATTAGTTGTCTGAACAGCACTGTTCTTTTTATAGCATCTTTTATAAAACATTACAGATGTCTGAGAAAAAAATCGCAATTCAAACAGATAAACAAGTTGTGTTATAACTACCAAAAGTACAAACTATAAAATAAAATAAAACTAGATAAGAAACAAAAACATTTTAAAACACAATTATAATACAATAAATCATTTGGGCCATTATTTATGTAAATTTCAATAATCAAAAGCAAAGCTCAATAGGTAGGTTGTTAGCTTTCATAAACAGAAATGACTAATTCTAATTAATAAGGTAATTACATTTACGTATTTTTTCATTCAATTATAAAATTGTAATTCTTAAGTTAATTGAACTCTCAGGGTTCCCAACTCTACAAGAGTTTGACACAAAATTGGTCCTCACTTTTAATTGCTGATACCTACAGTATTAATCTCTGCAATATTAATTGGAACACATACGTCAGCAGTCATTATAACTACTCCTATATGGAAGCAGGACCAGCAACACCAGCATGGCAGCTGGTGACATGACATCAAGCGCAGGACAGAAATAGAGTTATAGGAATAAGAAGCTGCGTTCCGATGACAGGCGTGCAAAGTAGTGTGCACATTTGTGTGAGTGTCACTAACCTGTTTTAGTGTTGCCCCCTCCATACCGCAGCCCTCTGAGCGCCCTGAGCACAGAGTTCCTGTCTTTGAAGTCATTTAGGCGGAATTCTATTCGAGGCTCATCACTGTAATGAACCACGGCTATCTGAAGGAAAATACACATCAACATAAAATCATTATAACAAAATCTAAGTTGAATGAGGTCTGACTTCAAGATGTAAGTGTAAAGTAAATAAAAAACACAACTCCTCTCACATACTACTTTACATATTGAGAAAAAACATAATTTGCATGCTTACGAAGCAGGCGCATATTCCTTGGCTTCTACTCTTTACTTGCCATGTTGCATTGTGCCTTGTTGATCATTTCGGAAATGTATTTCTACCCACTTGATGAAAACATTTGCACATTATGGTCTTGCTGATGGTGCTAGCTTGCACCAGAGACTCACTATAACACATTGCTAACTTGCATCATCTATTATCATTTAAGATCATGGCAATCCAGTCTGTAATTAACCTGCAACACTCAAAAACATACAGTCAAAGAGTCATACCATAGTGAAGCCAGAACAAGGTGAAATAAAGGAAGTATGTACTAAGGGACCAACCTGTGTGCCCTGAGGGCCCATGATAGGGAAGTAGGTAGCCACCCGGAAAATGAAGTCTTTCATCTTGATAAAGTTGTTAGCGCCGATGCTGGAGGACTCATCCACCAAGAATACTATGTCTGCTTTGGCTTTACCACAGGCTGATAAAACACAAAATGATGAGATCTTACACGATGTGAACATTTACAAACTGTATACACACTTTATCATTTTATCTTGCTAACGAATATACAACTTAAGCAATATCTATGTATGAATAAAGCATACTTGGTCTTGGTGGACCTGTTGTCTCTGCATGGAGTGTGGTTAAATGATGGAGGGGGACTTCTGATTTGGCCTCAGTGACTCTTGGCTGACCTGGAGGTTTCTTGGGGGTAATGGGTTTAGTCGGTGGTACAGCGATGGGGTGCCGGGTGGTCCTGCTGGCAGTGCGAGCAACTGTAGTGTCGCTGATGGAGGCAGTCGTGATGCGGGGGGGGGCTGTGGCTGGCAGAGCCTGGACTATTACAGCCGGAGGATCCTCTCCCACTGAGATGAACAGAGACACAACATCACTGATACAAAAATGATCAAAATAATTGTTAGAAATGTGATCATACTCTTCTGTTCCATAAAAGTGTTATTTAACTTTAACAACTGATACTTAACTAAGTAGAGAAAAATATAAACATGCATTTAGTGTAAGTATATCCTGTGGAATCAATAGAGTATTGCAGCAAACAGAAAGAGGTTTATGGATTATGCAGAGCTTAACAAACCATTGAAATGATGTCTTACATATTTTCTGATACACAGTGCTTATAGGGCCCTCCACTTCTCCATACAAAGGTCTGATGGTAAAAATATAGGTTCTTCCATACAACAAGTCATTGATGTTATAGGAGTTGAAACCAGGGCCCAGGGTCTCTGTTTTAGTCTCCAACACTGTGAAGACAAAAAAAGTCTGTTAATTTAGTTTCCAGGAATAGGAATATTGCCTCCCTATTTAAATGTATTTTAGTCAAAAGGAACATAACTTACAAATATCATATTTCTATTACAATAGAGGCCACTCATGTCTTAAAAAAGTGAGCTTATATAAGTCTGCATGTATAATAAAGCAGGACTATTAGTTTCGAAAATGTTTTTCTTTATATGTCCCTTTTTAACAAAAGAGTACTTATGTGGAGACTCAATACACATTACAATAACATGTGCCATACTAAATGTTCACTTTAAACCCTAAACAACCTTCAAAACACATAATTATACACAAAAGGGATTCATATAGTTCTTGGAATTTATTCAAATGATAGAATTGACAAACTGTTAAACAAAGCAGTGCTTATCACAGGGCTAAATTCACAATGCAATAACATTTAGACAGTACGGAATAAACCTGTTTTGGTTAACCCTGATGCTAAATTAAGGGGAAAACTTTGTCTGACCTGAGATGTGTCTCCAGGAGAGAAGGTATCCAGAGACCCCAGCCACACGTGTCCAGTTTAGTACAGTGCTGCTGTCTGTAGTGTTCAGAGCAACAAAGCCATTCACTTTTGGAAGATCCACTGAAACAGAAAAACAAATGAAACATCAAAAACAGTAAAAGTCAGGGGCCTCATTTATAAACGGTGCGTACGCACAAAAGATGGCGTACGCCAGTTTCTACGCACTGTTTGCGATTTATAAAAAACTAACTTGACAGGAAAATGTGCGGTCCTCCATGCAAACTCTGACCCATGCATACGCACTAAGCATAAAAACGGGAGAGACGAGAAACTGCGACACCGTTGGCAGAAGGAAGAATGGAGAGAAATATGTGGAAATAATACCATAAATAGAATGTAGCTGAACTTAAGACACCAAATTAAGAAGAAAGGGGGGAACTACGAATGTATGTGTTTGGTTTTATTTTGTCTCTTTTTTGTTTTGTTTTTTGGTTGTTCTTGTTTCTGTCTTTATATACATGTATGTATGTACGTGTATGTGTATGTGTATATGTGGGTATACATATGTGAGTATATGGGTACATGTATTATTGTTATTATTCTTTATTTCCTTATCTATTAATTTTCTTTTAATATTATCTTTTACATTACTTTATTTTACCTATATATGTATCTATTTATTTAGTTATTTACTTTACTAGCTAGGACCGGGAGGGGAGGGGGGGAAAGGGAAAAAAAATATTGACTGTATAAATGTAAACTCATTGTGCCTGACTCAATAAAAAAAAATTAAAAAATAAAATAAAATAAAAATAAATAAATAAAATGTTACCTCTCATTTATCATATATGAAGAATTCATTTTCACAAATTGATTAAAGCCAATCTTAAAATGATTTAACAAACACCTGTTTGCGACTCCTCAGTGCACACAAAAACATAACTTGGAGAAATAAATAAATACGCAAATGTTATTGATCATCCCTCGATTATGTTCTCTTGTTAAGAAATGTATTCTCATAAATGATGCGGTAAACAGAAGGATATAATTACTTTAAACTGACGCCGTTTTGCATTTCTATAGGTTCAGGTTGTATAGATACGAGCATGGTTTTATATACTATCATGTTTTATGCCGTTCGCCAATAGCCTACTTGATAAGTAGCTCGTAAAACACAGGAGGTATGGAAACTAAGAACACCATATGTGGTAAATTGTACAGCTAATATAACACAACACATTAGTTGTATTTCCTTTAACTGGTGGATTATGGATATATAGTTGCTGATCGACAGCTGGAACACAAACCACCAAATACAAACAAATAATTCAGATCCAGTCGTCATGACTCCACTCCGGAGGGATTCCCCGATCATTTCTTACAGTTTCTCATCAAGGGGGTGTCTCCTGTCCCCGGGACAAACACACTGCCTGAGGAAGGTTATGTGTATTTTTTTTGTCATTAACTTTTTTCGGACCACTTATTTATTTATTTTGGTGACGATCCGACCTCCATGCTGCTACTCTGGTTCAAACTGCATCCACCAAACAATATGATTTATCTCGACCTCCCCAAAATAACCTAAATCTGACACGGTGTGAGATGTCTTTTTTAGCTGTTCTGTCGTCATTTCCTGCGATCTTCTTCATGCAGTCAGTCAAAATGAATGAATGAATGGGCGTTTCTTTGACTATTTATAGGCAAATATGGGCGCTACGTGAAGCCCGCAAAAGCTGCGCCGCATTTTGAGTTGATTGTGATTTATAAAAGGGAAACCGGCGTAGGATGTGCCCTACGCAAGTCCTGTGCCGGTACGCAGTCTTTTATGAATCGGAAAGTGTCGGTGCGTATTTATTTGCTTTGTCCTACGTAAGCAACCTTCCCACGCCAATCCTACGCAAGGCTTTATAAATGAGGCCCCTGGACAGTCAAAAAATATTTTCAACTCATAGGGATAGTTGTCAGGTAAGTGGGCACATAGTCTTTTTGACCCTTAAATAAATAATGACACTTGCAAGCAAGCAATTTGTCAGTATATCCCCTGAAAACAACAACCATTATCCCCTCAACAAATCCTCAAAGTTGGAGTGAAAACTGTGGCGGTTTATACTTTTGACACATAAATACTATCATTTTGGGTTTGGTATTGTTACCAATCCCTGAAATCTCTGACTGAGAGCACATGTCATTCTGTTCCTCACTGGTTTAGGTAGGCGGGACTCACAGGTGCGTGCAGTGAGCAGGACTGGGCTGCCCTCCCTGCGGCCCACCATGGAGGATACCTGGATCTTGTAAGCTGCGCTCGCCCGGAGATTGTCGATGTTGAAAGTGGTGGAAGAAGCAGATACCACATGGGACTTCTCATCACCCCCTAGAGCAGGAAATAATAAAAGCCAACATGTGGATATAATGAGAGTGTAAAACAATACTGTTGTGTGCTCAATTATAGTTAAAACCCTATTGCAATCAGCCACAGGAATTCAAATGGTGATATTTCAGCTGTTACCAATAATTACTAATTATGCAAAATGGTAATAACAATTAGTTTTGATTGTAAAAGGATGCAATTATTCGAGCAATGTTTTATATATCCAGCGAATAAAATGTAATATTTTGTTATTTGCCAGAGATGTCTTTTTTGGAAATCCAGCTTAAATAAGTCAGTAAGTCTCACAGTATGTGGGTATCAGGGTGTAAGACTGTAAGCACACATGGTTGACTGTTATGTTCTTACCCATGAAGGGGGTCCAGGAGATTTTGTACCCAGATGCCCCCTGTGTTTTTCTCCAGGACAGAGTAAAGGAGTTGACTCCAATGTCCACAACCTTCACCTCCCTCACTGCCTGGATTTGCTGTGAGTCTGAGACAGCAGCTGAGTAAAAACATCAATAACCATGTTCAAAATAATCAAAACAAACATCACATTTACCTCCTTATTATTTCCAAATCATGAAGCATGAGGTAAAAACATTATCACATTTAAAGTAATCCGAAATCTTTGAGCTGAATGAGCCGCTGCGATTTTATTCACACACCCTATCATTTGTCAGTGTAATAAACTCAGCAATTGAACCTTGGTGTAACACACTAGCTTTGACAGTGACAGTGATAAAATGATAGCAGCTCTGCTGCCTTTTACTCAGTGACACATACTGCAAGTGACATTTCAGCTGTGGTTAAATGGGAACACCAAAGTATATGACTTGTCACTCAAATAAAGACACCAAGAGGGGCCGGACACGGGATGCGGAATTCCACCGTCCTTCCCATTTAATAACAATGGGGTGCACAGCTGCACAGACCTATTTAGATCTTAAGATGAATCATGATCAATTAAAATAAACTGTGAGACATCTCTTCCTGTACCTGTGAGCTGAGATAAGGAGATTTCTGGTCCCTCTGAGTTGCCGTACACGGCACAGATCGTGATGGTGTAGATGGACTGTGGGTTTAGGTCTTCGATACGATGGGTGAGGACAGTGCGGTCCAGGTAATGTGACTGAGGGCTGCCATCACCTGCAAGCATGCAGGGACATACACAATATTACTTACTGAGTGGGATATTTCTGTCACTTCCACATTCCTATTGACTTTTTTAGACAAATTAAATAAAGAGAAAGTTTGTTTGACTTGTGAAAACACCTAAATACAGATAAAACAGATGGGTAAATATATCACCTGTGTTCCAAGAGAGTTTGTATTCAGTGGCTCCAACTATGGGACTCCAGTCCATATCTATGGAGGTACTGGTGTAGGAAGACACCTTGAAGTTGGAAACATAGCCCAATGGAGCTGAGGAAAATGGAACATGAATAGCCTGTATCAGTTTGTTTTTAATACAGGACATGTTTTCATTGATGATGTGCAACAGAAAGATGACAACTGATGTAGATTCATTATTTTCTTTCTAATTTTTCTCTTTAAGAGTCCCTATCATTTACCACACATATTGGCCTGAGATTTTCTCAACAGAACCAGCCACTGGCGTTTATGTACGTTTCTGCTATGGCTGAGTTTAAGTTGCTCTTTAATATATTTTCTCTTATGTCAATTTGACTGGGCTTCTTTAAAAGGAACTCTAAGTAGCTGAACATCTTGTATTTGCTGACCTCCAGTGGTTTAACTTTCTAATCTGCTGCAGTGACAGAAGTGCACTCCAGGATGTTCCAAAGCACTGGAGACACCACAGCTAGTGTAAAGTTACTCTTTAAAAACTTTAAACTTACATCCAGGCATTTTAATAAATAATCCTAACATGAATTATGCCCATGCAGGGAAAAGACACAGACTTCAGAATGCTACTTGAGTTTTGTGGCACAGGAGAGAAGAAAACAATGCCTTAAAATAAAGTATTATTATTATTATTATTATTATTATTATTATTATTATGGTGTACAATACAAATGTGTATATTTTGCAAGGGTCAAGAAAACCAATTGTAAATGTCAGGGGAGTACTCGTGGTAGGTAGTAGACATATTGAATACTCACAGGTTCTGAAGGTAGCACTGATACCAGGCCCCACCGCAGATCCAAACAGCACATAGAGAGACAGCACATACTCAGTATCATGGGCTACATTCCTCATCTGGTACTCTGTGGCGCTGCCGTTCAGAGCCAACTGCCTGGGACGATCCCGACCAACAAACTCTGAAACAATATGATGAATCACAGTACATTCTCATCACCTTGCCTTTAATTATTGCTCGCTGTCCAGGCATTCCTATGAGATCTGGCTCAGCATTAAAGCCTCTGGAAAAAAACATCCTCCTCTGTTGACCCTAACATTTGTATTTCATCAGGGTTAGTCGCAATGCCACCTGTCACATCCCTGTGGCAGATGTGTCTAGTGTAAAAGAGGGACATTTCAAAAGCTTTTGTTAGAGTGAGTCTGTCGCTGGTAGAAAGGCAGCCAATCAATATTAGAATCAAACATGGACACACATGCATACACGTACTCTGGATAACTGGATACGTTTTTTTATTGAGATCATTTATATACCCGAGAGTAATCTGATGTATCACAAGAACAACCAGGGGGTACTTTTATGGTGTCAAAAGCAATAACATGAAGGCTGACAAAGAGAGAAAGTGACTCACCTGGAGTGGGTCCCCAGGCCAGTCTGTACCCTGTGGCCCCTGGGACACTGTTCCATGAGATGACAGCAGTACTGGTGCTCACAGCAGACACCTTCAAAGTTTGTACTGCGCTGCTTTCCACTGAGACAAAGAAAGACATGAAGGACATCTTCATCTAATCTTGTATGGGTCTTTAAAACTGTAACCATGTACATGTATTTAAAAAAAAAAGTTATACAAGTGCTAGTTACATGTCTTGAGTTTGGTGCTGGTGATGGGCCCCTCAACGTCTCCAAATATGGGGTTGATGGTGATGGTGTACTCAGAGGCTGAGTGCAGGCCCTGGATCATGTAGAAGTTAAAGTTGTCCCCGAGGTTTATGTTCTCTATGTGGCCATCTGAAAGATACAGAGAGAGAGAGACACTTTTTGGCTTTGTTTCACAAACCACGGTTATTTTCTGTTTGATAAACCTTGTGTATAATTACTAAGTAAAGATGGAACCGTACCTGGGGATTCCCATGTCAGACGGTATCCTGTGGCACCCTTAACGGATGCCCATCGTGCCTGGACGGTGTCTGTGGTGGCGTTTTGAACCAGGAACTTCTGAACTCGTACCAGTTTTACTGTGAAACACACCCATGTTCACACAAACACACACATATGCAGGAAGAGCGCACTCATATTCAATATTCAGTCTAAGTTTATTTAGTAATTTAAAAAAATCATAGTTATGATAAGAGTCAAGTTATTTAATTTAAATTGAAATAAAGAAAAGTGTTATTTAAAGGAATGCATTAAAGGTCCCCTATTATACTGTTTTTCAACAATATGTTATAGGTCTCAGATATATACAAAACATGTCTCTGAAGTGTTTGGCTCCAAATACCAAACAGATCATTGTAGCATCCCATAAACCCCTCTGTTTCAGCCCTGTTTCAAAAGTGCTGATTCTCTGTCTGTTACTTTAGATGAAAATAAGGAGCCACTCCCCACGCCCCTCTGAGAGATATTTGGTTTAAAAGAACACAATGGTGCTCTAGGAGGAGATTCAGGTGATAATTGGGGGGGGGGGGGGGGGGGGGGGGGGGGGGGGGGGGTTATCTTGGTTGGTTATTGGCTAATGGTTACACAAGCCAAAACATCATTATGACATAATAAAGTGGCCAAAATCTGATCAGCTCATTTTCAGACAGGTTTTTATATAAATGGATCAGGACAAAAAGTGAGGGAATCTTTTTTCCTGAAACTTTCAGAATCTCTTTACACAGAGGGGACACATGTTTATGTATAACAGACGTGAACAAGTGGATTTTGCATAATAGGTCCCCTTTAAGAAAATAAGAAACATAACAATCTCAATCCATTCAAATCAAAACCTCGGGAGATATTTCTCTAGCACTATGAAATAGAGATAAATGAGTCTGCATGTAAAGGACCTTGTGCAAGTGTTTCTCCAGAACAACAGCGCCATGCTGTGGTAATATTACAGTATTACACATTGGCATTTGCTTCCTTGTGTAGCTTGTTTCCTATTATAACAGCTATCCATATATTTTTGTCAGTGTTAAGTCAGAGTATTACAAGTGGTAAATAAAACTAAATTAAGTGGAAAGTGAACATACAAAATGAGGTGTTTTCATCAAAGCAATACACTTACATGTCTTGCCTACTATTGAAACAGTTTCACTTGGTCCCTGGGGGTAAATAGCATAAATACTGATGGTGTACTTCTTATCCTCCTCCAGGCTGTCAATCACATGAGAAGATTTGTCTCCAGGAAGCAGGTTCTCATATGCAAATCCTGGTCGGTTGGCTGCAGAACAAAACATCCAGAAGAATCAGACTAAAATAATGTCTATTAGAAACTGAGATGTATACAAATGGCTGTAGAAACTGAGATGTATACACTTGTCTGTAAAACAGACATTTGTATACTTCATACTTGCAATGTGTTGGTTGTAAAATGATAATAATTGCATTGTGTATTGCAAGCATACATCTTGGGATGAATATCTTAAATCCGTTGAGCTTCCCTAGAGAAGGCGTCCATCCCAGGCGCATAGAGTACAGGCCCTCCTCGATAACTCGGAAGTTTGACACCTGAGGCAAAGGGGCTACAAGGCAGAACATTGTTGCTCAGGTAATCAAGGTACAGTGAAATGGAAAACAAATGGGCAGAAGTATTTGTGCATGAGCGTGCAATGGTGTGTGACACCCACTTGTCTGGACGGTGATTGTTGCTGAATCTCCTATAAGGCTGGGGTAGACAGCGTAGAGAGTGAGGGAATAGTCTGTTTTAGGACTCAGCTCACTAACCACTGCGGTGTTCACATCTGCCTTCACATCAACCTGTTGAATACAATCAATGCAGAAGATTGAGAGGAGATAGGGTATGTGTGTGCGTGTGTGTGTGTGTGCGTGTGTGCACTGCATGCATGTGTGTGTTGAAGTTAGGGCAGAAGAGAGAAATACACAGAGACAGCAGCCACCAGCATCCTTGTGCTTTGATGAAACTAAGGGTTTAATTCCATCTTCTCCATTATATTCAAATTAGATGGGGTGTTGTGCTTTATAACATACATTATTCATTTGTTGTTCTGTTTATCAAGAGGAAGGTAAAACTGAAGCGCATATATTGGGGGAGAAATAGGGGTCATGCTGATCCCATTGATGCAATATTGTGCGATTTGGAAAGTTACACAGATTTGATTGTACATATAACACAATGACTCAATGCTTGTATGTGCAGTACATTTGCTGGTCACACATGTAGTTAGAGTTGACATGCAGTTTTGAGCATAAGCAGTCATGGGCATGAGCAATTGAGGGATGTACTGTACTGTAACTTGAATCATGCACAGTGGTTACACCGCACCTGTCTCTGTTGTAGGGGGAGGTTTCCACTGGAGCTGAGAGGGTAGATGAGGAGACGATATCCAGTGACATCACCTGTGGCTTGGCCCCATGTCAGTCTGAGGGAACTGTGGGCCAACTCGCTAACCTGCAGGTCTCTGGGACCCACCACACGCTTCTCAACTAGGTTTGAGAGAAGGTACAGGAAGAGGCATTGGATGACAATATACATGAAATATCTGTGAGAAAAGGAACAGGGAACATTAAACATGCAAAGTGGTTTTGCAGTAAAACTTGTCAGCAAGATAAATCCATCTTAGTGACAAAACGTCAGGGCATATTGAGATAAGAGAGAACTATTAATCATATTTATTGTACTTTGCAAGCTGCAATTCATCACTCTAGAAATGTAAACAGCTGTCAGTATAAGGGCATCTTTTCTTTTTTTTTTAAATGAAGGTTGGTTAAATTATTTTGAAACTGGATGTGTATTGACCCACCAGGCTGGGAAGTTTTCACAGGAAGTGGTGGTTCAGAGGCAGTAAAGCACACCCTGCGGGACAGTTTGGGAAGGATGGTTTCAAGGAGAGAGTAGTCAGCGCGACGTAACAGGTGCTCCTCATGTGGCTCTGACACGATCCTCCTTAGCTCTGCCTCATCAGCCCCCCGAACACCTGGCACAGGACAGACAAAAACACACAATGCAGTCAAATAAACACCCTCTGTCTACACCATAAGCCCACTACATTTAGAAAAGGCAGATAACAACCTTTCAAAAACAATGAACACAATAAATGGCCTGCCATACATTTGATAAGGCTCACTTGATTAAGGCATAATAAAAACAAGTGAATATGAATCATAGCTGTTTTCTTTACAAACTTACACCACTAAGAGGAGCTGTGGCAGTTTGAGTGATTCATTTGAGATCTGCATGAATTATCTTTATACATCCAGGGACAAACCTATATATGCATATTTTAGACATACATAGGCTGTTTTTGTTAAAGATTAAATCAGAGCTCAAAAAGTTGTACCATTCTGAAACATACAAAACCTTTTTTAAAAGATGCAAATGAACATGATGCAAGTCTTCAGGGAGAGCGGGGTCACAATACCAGTTACTTAAAACCTGAACCTAGACAGGAACATGCATTGAGATGCATATATTTGTGCATATTTGTTATCAAGACTGCAATACAGGCTCCATAGGCAGGGCTTGGATTAGCACGAGTACAGGGGAGGCACGTGGAGCTTCTCTGCGGGAGTGATGAACGAGAGGAGCAAGCCTCAGTGTCAGAGGTGCAGATGGAGGACACTGAATCGCCTAATGAAAAATGGCTGCGATTAGCACACCACCGGCTAATGAGCAGTAATTATTACACCGCTCCCAGCTGAGGGAGTGAGTTGTGGGCTTGTGGGCTCATGCGTGTGTGTAAGAGATATGTGTAAGTACACTTGTGGGTTAGCAGCAGTTTGTATTCATGAGTGGGGGAAACATGTAGGATAAAAAAGCTTTTCCACACCGTCAAAAAGTAAACTTTGACAGCACAGGAGATGAATACATATTTAGTAGTAGACGTTGTTATGTTTGCCCATACAAACACTCAGACTCTCAAAAACCAGAATGTCATGCACACTCACAAATACCCACACTGAATCCAATGAATTAAAATGTTCAGGACATGAATTTCTGACTGCAAACACTGCAGATAAGCCGGCAGAGCTCCAATAAAATGTGAGGGGTCTCTGCAGTGGGGATGTTGCAGGAATCCACAATACTTCCACACTCACCTACTGCAAAGAGAGAAATCCCATTGTCAGCCACAGCTTTGGCTGCAGCATCGACCAGGTCGTCTGAACGTCCGTTTGTGATCATTACAACAATCTGTGCAGGGTGACAGAAATAATCTATTATATTAGGTCAATAAACATAATTAAACAATCAAAAAACAACCTGATAATTTGCATAACAACGACAGCAGTTTGTTTTCATTACAGTCACTCAGTTTCTGCATTTAGTTTTGTGAAAATGTGTTTAATCGATGTTTATTCACTAGCCAAACAACGTTTTATTTCATTACATGTTACTTGTTAGACGCTTTTATCCAAAGCGTCTTACATACTCAATACTGTGGGCAATCCCCACAGGAGCAATTTGGGGTGAAGTGTCTTGCCCCGGGACACAACGACATGCTGATTGCAGTGGGGTTTGAACCTGTTTTCAATAAAAATAACATCCCTGCTATTCAGAGTTATGCTCAAAAAGCATGGACTCGTGGTTTTACTCCAGCCCAATAAATCAAACCCTAAGCCAAAGTGGAATTCAATGATGCTAGCTTGCAACAGAAACTGGTAATTTGCCCATTAAGGAAAATTAAAACAGTTACTTCACAGCTCATCCATCAGTCAATGAAGGAGGGGGCTAGAAATCATCGATATGAGAATGTAGCTGCATGTGCTCTGGCTGTACAATTTGATATATCAGCTAATCCTGAATTCACTGCCTTCCCACGTCAAGAGTGCTGCTGCAACATGATTCACACACTAACTCAGAGATAGAGAGGCGAATGGAATGCTAACCAGCTGTGTTATAGTGAAGCTACACTACGGTGTTAGACTGTCTGAGACATTTAGTTCACACAAACTGAATACTTTTGGAATAGCATTAGCGGGGCTCATCAGTACCAATTTGAAACATGATTCTGTGACAAAGCAGGTTAATTTCCATTGTTTATCGCTGGATGGCCATCAAATGGACCTGTTGAGGAGTATCTCACTTTTGGCCTTTAGTCTACCCTTATGCACAGTCATTCAGCATATTTAGCATGTTAAATCCGTGGCAAACGCACAATGTTTTGCCTCCCCCCTTTCCTTTTTGTCTTCTGGAAGCAAAACAACAAACCAAAGTAAAACCTGTTTCCAATAGTAACTTTTCTATCAGACATCCTCTCAGTTTGCATTCAATGCGTAAAAAAGTGGTGTAAAATGGGCCGCCGGTTTGTTTTGATTGTGTCTTTCCACACAATGTTCCTTCCTGTACAAATACAGACCTCTAACTAGTAATTTCCTTTCAAACAGGGCCAGAGTATACATCATATCCGTGATAATGGCCAGCTGGAAGAAATAGTATTTGCAGTGTGGGCTGTAATCTTGAATCAATCATCTTCCAGTTGCTTGTGTGTCAACCCTTTGTCATACATGAACAAGAGATATGCCCTTTGTATTGTTAACATTCATGGAAGAAGTTTTTGTTATGAGACCTCTTTTACCTTTGCTTATTCATGAAATTACCTACAGCATGTGTAGTGTCTGGCACATTTCAAGGGTATCTTTTTTCTATGCTTTGCTCCAAGTCTGTTGGTATACTAAAATCCCTTTATAGCAGACGAATGCAGTCACCACGGATAGGTTTTCACATCTACCCGGTTGAAGCACTCTACCTTCGGGGCATGGTCACGGCTGATAGCAGGGCTGAACACGGCGTCAACCAGAAACTGGAGGGCGTCCCCCATCCTCCTCGATCCACCCACATAGGGGAGGTCTCTGACGGCTCGGAGCACTTCTTCCTGTGAGCTGTAGTCTGTCAAAGCAATCCGCATCCTGCACAGATAAACAGGGGAAATACGATCATGTACAGTATCAAAAAGGAAATAGCTAAAACAGATATTGGAGTTTGTGTACATTGTGTTTTGTTTCTCCTTTAATTTAAATTTTTAAATTTTGTTTTTTCTAACAGATGTGGACAAAACATAAATGTGTCTGGCTTAATAGCAATTAATTGCTGTCTTTAACATTTTGATATTCAAGTATTACCTTGGGACATCCCCAAAGACAGTGACTCCAAATCGGACCCCCTCTGTTCCAAACACCATGCCCTGAAAGGAGGAGATGATGGTCGAGATGAAGTCTTTGACCCTGGAGAAGTTGGTCTGGCCCACACTCCATGACTCATCCACCAGAAACACTATGTCTGCCTGCACCACCGTCTTGCATGCTGAGGGAAGAAGACGGGGTGAGTTAGTGTGTGCATAAATACCAAAGAGTGAGGATCAGGGGAATCGGTTTTGATAGAATTCAAAATACCTTGACCTTATCTTTAAAAAATATTCCAATTTAGGCCTTTTTAGGGTTAAAGGTTGAGACTTTTTGTCTAATCTCCACACTGACCACCAGAGAGCAGTCTTGTTCCATCCTGAAAAGGTGTTTCCTTCTACTTGCTTCTATGATACAGCTAAAGCCCTGCACAAATCCCTATGAATCTTTAATGAGACACAAGTGAGCCAAAGAGACTATCAATATTCTGAGCACTCCAGCAATAAAAGTTTAGTACAGCGATGAAGAACGCTTAGAATAATAAGGTAAACACGCCCAAAATCAGGGTCAGTCCCCTCGCTCAGGCAAACAAACGCATTTAACATAAGGATCTGATGCTTTTGCCAGCAGGACTCAGATGTGTTTTAAAGTGCTGTTAAAAAGCCAGACGCGCAAGAAAGGTAACCTGATGCAGTAACTACATGTATATACACACACTCCCACATACATTATCTCTTGCAACTCAGATGAACACGCCTTGACACATTAATTCTCCACATTGATATACAGTACTGTACTATCAAACGCTCCCACTCGACACAGAAATCTGCTGCGTGTGCAAATGCCCTCTGAGTCAATATTCTGGCATTACATATGCAATAAACCATGGTGACGACAGCATTGATTAGTGTGGTGAATAAGAGATAGGCACCACTGATTGTTCTGTATGTGATAACTCAGCTCCTCTGCTGTCCTCGATTTCATTACAGAGCTTTCCCGCCTCTATTATTTTGCCCTTTTTCCTTTGGCTGCAATCCCAGGATTCACAGGGGGAGACATATGTCTCCAGCCCAGGGCGACCTAACATTATGTTCTTCCTCAAATACCTATATACATCTCTGGCCACACACAAAAACAAAACATCATTGGGAAAACAATTTTAGAGCTTTCTGTGGTGGTAATCTACTATCTCTGCCCACAACAGAAGCTTTAGTGCTATATTTAAAAAACTGATGCAAAACCACAGTTTAAACCACTGATGCAAATAAACAGGATGTTCATCGTTCCCATCCTGAGTTGAGCCTCATATAGGCAGTCAACAACCCTTGTCTACACACTTGGCTTTTTCTAATTATTGTGATGCATTTTCTAGTCCATAGATTTCTGTAAAACCACATAAACGTGGTGGAGATTGTGAGCAAGGAGGCACCCCGAGGATGGTGGAGATGGAAGAGGAAAACTAGATGAATTATCTAGAAGTGTGTCAGTCTGGTATGGCAGGTGAGGACCACATGCCAAGAATAAGAAGACAACACATGCTGAGGGATTAGGAAGGGTTTTCTTGAAGGTTATCTATGCTGATGTCTCAAAGGTTGTGTACATTAGACCACCATTGATTTACCCCTTAGATGTGGCTCAGTGGATACAGCATATGCTGCAGAAAATTCTGCAAGGAAAGAAAATGTCGAGGAAATAATGATGCACTGCTGCAATCAGCTCTAACAAGATCAAGAGAAAAGTTGTGAAACATTAGAGAGCACACCTCAGGTTCAGATTTGATCAGGACAAATGAATGTAAAGGTTAATATAAAAAGAAAATAAGAGTCATTTGCATTGAAGCTAGGAAATAAAGAAAACATGACAAATGCAAAGGCATTCCCCCAGCATCTGTTTGCAGAGTCATGTACTCGCCCCTTTGGGACAGTCAGGGGATGTAAACAAGCAAGTCAGTCAAACACTGTATTCATATTCATGTTGTTGTTCACATCTGAATTCAAAGCAGTTCAGTTGGAAGTTAATAGAGAACATTACATTACATTACATTGCATTTAGCTGACGCTTTTATCCAAAGCGACTTACAATAAGTGCATTTGACCAAGAAGATACAAACTTGAAGAAAACAGAATCATATAAGTACATCAGGTTTCATAGAGCCAAAACATTTCAAGTGCTACTCAACTGGCTTTAGATAAGCCAGTCCTTTGTTAGTATATAAGTGCTTTGTTAGTCATTTTATTGCTCGAAGTGGAGTCGAAGGAGATGAGTTTTTAGTCTGCACCGGAAGATGTGCAAGCTTTCTGCCGTCCTGATGTCAATGGGGAGCTCATTCCACCATTTTGGAGCCAGGATAGCAAACCAACGTGTTTTTGCTGATGGGAACTTGGGTCCCCCTCGCAGTGCGGGTGCAGCGAGCCGTTTGGCTGATGCAGAGCGGAGTGCACGTGCTGGGGTGTATGGTTTAACCATGTCCTGGATGTAGGAAGGGCCAGATCCATTCACAGCATGGTACGCAAGTACCAGTGTCTTGAAGTGGATTCTAGCAGTTACTGGAAGAAAGTGAAGGGAGCGGAGGAGCGGTGCGGTGTGGGAAGATTTAGGAAGGTTGTAGACCAGACGAGCCGCTGCATTCTGGATGAGCTGCAGAGGTCGGATGGCACATGCAGGTAGACCAGCCAGGAGGGAGTTGCAGTAGTCAAGGCGTGAGATGACGAGAGCCTGGACCAGAAGTTGCGTTGCTTTCTGGGTCAGGAGGGGACGTATCCTCCTAATGTTGTAAAGAGTGTATCTGCAGCAGCGGGTTGTAGCAGCGATGTTTGCAGTGAAGGACAGTTTGTTATCTAGGGTCACACCCAGATTCCTTGCAGTCTGAGTCGGGGAAACAACAGAGGGGCCGATGTTGATTGTTAGGTCAAGAATGGGACACTCTTTTCCTGAAAGAAAAAACAGTTCAGTCTTGTCAAGGTTGAGCTTGAGGTGGTGAGCAGACATCCACTGAGAGATGTCTGCTAGACAAGCAGAGATGCGTGCGACGACCTGGGTTTCTGAACGGGGAAAAGACAGAATTAATTGGGTGTCGTCAGCGTAGCAATGGTATGAAAAACCATGCGGGCTAATGACCGATCCGAGCGAGTTTGTGTACAGAGAGAAGAGGAGGGGACCAAGGACAGAGCCCTGAGGGACCCCTGTAGTTAATTGACAAGGGTCGGACACGGACCCTCTCCAAGTTACCCTGTAGGTGCGGTCTTTGAGGTATGAGGTGAGGAGGGAAAGTGCAGAGCCTGAAACTCCAAGTTCTTGGAGAGTGCGAAGGAGGATCTGATGATTCACCGTGTCGAATGCAGCAGACAGGTCCAAAAGGATGATGACAGAGGAGAAAGAGGCTGCTTTAGCAGTGTGCAGTTCCTCAGAGACAGCAAGGAGAGCAGTTTCTGTGGAGTGACCTGCCTTGAAACCAGACTGGTGCGGATCAAGAAGGTTGTTCGGATGGAGATAACAGGAGAGTTGTTTAAAGACAGCGCGTTCAAGTGTTTTAGACAGGAATGGGAGGAGAGAGACAGGCCTGTAGTTTATAACATCGGACGGGTTGAGAGTGGGTTTCTTTAGGAGAGGGTTTACTCTTGCCTCCTTGAGAGTGTTTGGAAAGTGACCAGAAGTTAGAGAAGTGTTGATGAAATGGGTGAGAAACGGTAGAATATCAGGAGCGATAGTTTGAAGGAGGTTTGAGGGGATAGGGTCCAGAGGACAGGTGGTAGGACGGGCAGAGGTAATGAGGGTAAGAACCTCATTTGGAGAGAGAGGGGAAAAGGAGGTTAGTGTGTGGGTGAACGTTGGGACTGGTGACCCAGTGGTGACTAATGGTGAGTTGGAAAAAGAAGAGCGAATATCATCAACCTATTTTTCAAAGTAGTTAACAAAGTCGCTTGGAAGAAGGAAGGAGGGGGAAACAATTGTTTAAATCAAAGTTAACCCTAAGAAGCAGATAGTTCAGTTTTAAGATTTATGTAAAAATAAGTTACCCAGATTTCTGCCTGAAAAATAGGTATTTTAGCTGTTCTGAGATTTCAAAACACAATTTTAGCCAGATGAACTACAGAACATTTATACAGAGTAGACTGAAACAGAGAAGTCTAAAAACAAAATAGTACTTAACACAGGTTTCTGGAATCAGCAGTTAATCCTATCTGGTCGAGTTTGCACACTGTGGAGAAAACCACATAGCCTATTACTAACTAACTGGTGGACAAGGGCGAGGATTATGTCATGTTTAAATCAATAAAGGTTGTTTAAATTGGATTTGGGTAAAATAAATTGTACTTCACTTCAGGGGTACTGAGCATTTTTGCTTCAATCTACTGCTACCTGCCAACCTCCTTACAGCAAAATAAGAAAGTTAGTAACTAGCAACATATGAGGCATTTAGCCTCTAAAGAAGAAGAAGATACACTTTATTAATCCCTTACAGGGAAATGTCTTTCCCCACTCTGATGTGTTTACACACATAGGGGAGGATATACATGCACAAACACAGAGGCTATACATGCACACACACAACCACATGCAGATAGGAGAGGTGGCAGAGCAGAGAGGCTGCCAGGTACCCAGCGCCAAGGGAGCAGTTTCGAGGTTAGGTGCCTTGCTCAAGGGCACCTCGGCAGTGGCCTTGGAGGTGAACTGGCACCTCTCCAGCTACCAGCTCACTCAAGCTTTTTTTTGTTGTTGGTCCGATCGGGACGTGAACCGGCGACCCTTCGGTTCCAAGACCAAGTCCTTACAGACTGAGCCACTGCCGCCTCAAAGGAGTCAAATATTAAGAGTAGGTTGAGACCAAAAACATACAGTAGATGGGAGGAGAGCTAATATTATTCTTACATATATCTGGTGGACAAAAACATGGTACCAAGTGAATACTAATGTTGCTTCTGCTTTCCCAAAACCAATGTGTTACACGTTAAATGCATATTTTATTTACACATCCAGCGGACAATGAGCATTCATTTGCATCCATGTTTATGACCAACTCAGTCAATTTGTGGGCTGTAAAGAAAATCCCTGACTCACTAGAAAGAGGCAGAAAGATCCATAGAGCAGTGAAGTTGGATTATGATTCTCTGAGGGATCCATACATTGCTTACAGGAATTTGAATTATCGTTAATCCAAAAATATCAATTATTGTAGCTTGAAGTTGTCAATGTATTAATTTGAAATCGACCACTCTTCTTGTGTGTAATGTGAAACAGTAGCCCTCAGGGTTGCTACAGACATTTATATGACGTGATATGACGGAATGTGAATGAACACTGTCAAGAATAAGCCATGGTACCAGTTACAAGGGAGCAGCAGCTTCAAATATGGCCTTGGGCTATTTATATCCCTCCATAATTCTGCCCAACAACTTTACACATCACTTTCTGCCAACCACATTCCAGGTGGAGGAAATCAAACTTTCGATTGGCTGATTGACATTTGGCGACATCCAATAGCACCTTGGGCTTAAGGTTCTGTATCCAGGAGATGGGTTTGACAGGCTGGCAGACAGAGTGCTGTATGGTACATGAGGCTAGCAGATGTTAAAATTCCCTGACTAGACACAGCCTGGAGAGAAAGTGGAGCTGGGTAAGTGTCTACCCCGTGTTCCAGTCCATGTGTCCAGATTTAATGACGGAGCACAGACTGTGTTCATTGAGCACCTGACCTTTCTCTGGCCTGTGCCTCCAAGTCATCTAATTCATAGATCAGTGAGCATTGTGGACAGTCAGACATATGGTGTTGACTCAGAATCAAACAACTGATGTTGAAAACTGATGGTGCCATGAGGCTGAATTTTAGTGGTGTAAAGTGACTGAGTACATTTGCTAAAGTAAGTTAAGTACAATGTTGAGGTACTAAACTTGAGTGTTTCAATTTTTTGCTACTTTATACTTCTACCACACTACATTTCAGAGGTAAATCGTGTACTTTTACTCCACTACATTACTTGAATACCTTTAGTTACTTTACAGATGTTGATTAATGATGTGAAATAATCAAGTGTTAAATCAGACTTTAGTTCCACCTGGAGTAAATTCACAAGCTACCCTGCAGTATACAAAGTCATTCAAACTAGCTGCACCTTTACCAGCTTTGATAACACTTTAATGATCAATCATTATAAAACATATATATATTATTCTGAAATGGACCAATATGTATAATGAATACTTTTACTTTTGGTACTTTAAGTATATTTTGATGCTAATACTTTTATACTTTTACTTGAGCAACATTTTGATTGCAGGACTTTTACTTGTAACACTCTCGTACTTTTATTTTACTTAAGTACAAGATCTGAGTACTTCTACCACCTCTGTTGAATTTGACAATAAGAAAGTGAAGGAACAATAGAAAAAGGTGAGTGAGGGAATGAGTCACGGCCTGGAATTATGTATGAATGTATAACTGAATGGCTGAATATGTGGAAAACAATAACAGAAAGTGCTTGATGATGCTTGATGTCATCTGTTACCTTCAGCTTGTGCTGTGACGCTCTGGTGGGACAGAGAAAGGGATAGTAGAAGGATCCACACAGAAGAGCAGCCCATACTCTTCCTCTCTTCGTCTTCCTTCTGCGATCACCGGCTCCTCCTCCCAGTTCTTCTCTTCTCAAATCCCCTTCTTAAATTCCACTCCACAATCATCAATTCCAACTCTTATTTCCCCTTTTCTGAAAGTATACACATGAATAGACAGTGGAAAAAGTCATTAGAGGCACTCAAAGATAAAATATAATCAAACATTTTTAATTTGTGAGGCATTCATGATTCTTAGGCAGTCATAGAGTTTTTCTCCCATCTCCAAGGACAGTGTTGAATAAATGTATGTACTAGGGAGGATGTCTTGACTTATACTGCATAATTTCAGATTCCTTTTACATCATATCTATAAGGCCTGAAGATTAAATCACCAGATGTGATTATATTGAATTATCCACACAAACATAAATAGATCCTATCAGTTTTAACTCAAATTCCAATGACGCAAAGAAAATAAAAGCATCAAATGAGGGTTAAAACTGTCTGATATAAAACAAGCTAATAAAAGCAGTTATTGGGAGGTGTTAACATTATGAACTTACATGAAAAATGATTACCCCAATAACCCGTTACGACTGACTTATATGATAGAGTTTCTTCAGAGTGAACCTGCAGCTTGACCTGATGCATGCCACTGCTCCTACTGTTTATCGATGTAAAAACCCTCTACATGTGCAAAAGATATTTACAGTGGTCAGCCAGACCTCTAGACTATGTGCACCTGTCCCAGACTGAGGATCACCCAAACCCCCTGAGGGCTGGCTTTGGCCTGGAAGTCAAACTACAGAGGTGTTTATCTACAGAGCTGAGGCCGAGGCAGCATTGCTAATCGCTTCCGATGTGTGTGCACATACTACATTTCACTTGGTCAAAATGTTTTAGCCCCATGGCAAATCTGCAATAACAGAGAATGTGTCTTATTAAAGCTTCCACCTGCACCCTCTTATGTCTCGTGTATGTGCGAGTTTCTTTGTTTGACCACAACATGGTGACACTGTAGGACATTTGAGAAGAACTGTCTGCAATCAATGGAGGTTCAATAACACTCGGGGATACAGCAAATCCTTCCCCTTTCCTTCCTCAAAAGACAGAGGAAATTAGCCCCAAGGCTAAAGCTTTTGACTTGGCATAATACACTGAGTGGAGGTAATTCAGTTCCTTTGAAATGTTGTGGTTGCGTTTCCAGCATATTATCTATTGCAGACTTGTACCTTGGGAAGGGATATTTAAAAGCATGGTGCAATGATAGGAGCGTATTGTAGAATCTTCACTGCATTTGTGCTGCTCAATGATCCACTTCAAAGTCAGCTTAAAGATATTGCAGCCAGAATGTGTTGAGAGTGAAAACCTTCCCTTAAATGTATACGAAGGAAACACAGCAATGTATCAACACAACAACATTCAGTTAAGTGAAAATAATCAATGCCTAAGTAGAGTTAATCCAGAACTTGAATCACAATGGCAAAGAATCATGCAGCAGCCACGGATTATCCCATATTAAATGAATAACCCGCTATCAGAGAGAAGCACGTTCAATGCAAATCTAAGAAACGGTTAGTACCGTTATGTTTTACATTAGCTTTCTATCTCCCAGCATGTGTCAGCACATAAGTGTTCATGTGTGCCCAAGTACATGTGCATGAATATATTTTAGCCTATAAGCATATGGTATTGCAAATTCATAGGCCTAACATCAAAGAGAGATCTGCCTTTACTCAACTACCATACATGAGATGAAAACATTACGGATTACTTTAGGCATTAATGATTCACATTCCATTCATCAAGCTATCTGCCAATACTTCCAATGTTTCAGCTACAGAATAAATGAATATGATAAAGCCATAAAAAAGTTAAACAATCTGAATTCCAGACAAATCTTTGGTGTGATTTGACCACCTGGCCGACAGAGCCGGAATGGCTGAAGGCTGACGACTAGTTTACAACCTCTGCAGATCAACTCTCATGTAACAGCCAGAAAACCAAACTCTCCCCCTCACATACCAATGCAGATCTAAGATCTGTCTCTGCATGTATCTTCTTATTACTGAAGAGCAGAGACCACAAACGTGTGTTTTCATGAATGACAGCAAGTGCAGAAGTACACAGTTGCTGTCTTCTATCCCAAAAGGTGGAAATGATAGGTTTTAATGTGCTAAAGGTGGCACAAGTTTTCTGAGTCAAGTAGTGGATGTCAATGTTAAAAACATCTGCAGAAATATAAAAGAGCCTTAGATTTAACTTAACAGTTAACAGTTACTTTGACAGTTAAGTGTCCCTGAGTTAATCCAAATGTTTCTGAAAATATTGAAGTTTAAGCATGATGTACCTCTACATAAATTGCAAAAAGACCAGGAGCCTACAGCCTCGCTAGCAGCAGTGTTTTGAGGTAAATGCTAATATCAGCATGCTGATATTTCGAGGGAATAATATTTACTATGTTCACCATTTCCGTTTAGCGTGTGAAGATGCTAACATTAGCTAATAGGCACATAACAGGTGAGGATGATGTGACTTACATATAGAGGTATTTGGTCTTAAACCATAATTGGACAAACATTTGGCATGATGGGGGCGCTTACTGTATAAAAAGTCAGGCAATCACCAAAGTCACTGCAATTCATCCATCTTGTATCATATCAGGCCTGTACAAAATGTCATGGCCATAAATATAATTGTTGTTGAAATATTGAATTCTGGACGTGATGGACTTATTGACTGACTTAGTCATGCAAATCCCAGCTCACTCCAACAATCCTGCAGGACATTTCTACAACGCCTGTGATCATAAGCTCAACTCAGCCACTTAGACAACATGCTTGCAATGATCCCGCATCAAGAAAAATATGTGCACAGGACTCCATCCATCACTCAAAGCATGCTGGGATCACAAGCACTTTGTCCAGCCTCGCCGAGGAGGAAATGTGTATATTGTGTCCGAGGCCTTAAGTTTATCACTGCCCGAGAGGATTAAATAATGTTACAAAACGAAGTTTGCTGTCTCTGGCCCTGATACTCCCTCTCTGTTCCCTATCTCCCTTCCTCACACACACTCGCTCACACATCACATGCCCTGCAAGTCTAACTGCATGTCAGCTATTTCTACATAATGGCATTTTCCACCTCACCACTTCACAGAATGGATTATCCCCGTAGGTAGAAAACTGGTACAGTGAAGTGGCACCTACACACTGCAATGTCAGAACTGCAATGTATGATAGCCCATGTCTTCGGTGCAATTAAATACAGATCTACACACAAATACAATCACACTCAACGCATGTCGTCTTAATGTCACTTTGCATTCGCAGTCAGACAGCACAGACAAGTCCATGCATGGGAAACATCCACAATTCATTCTTCATAGTTTCATCCTCTTGCTAACAACCTGGTATGTTCTTATTATTCATGAATACACTAGAGCTCACATGACTGTGAAATCCATGATATCTTGTTTTTATGCTCCTATTGAGGTTGGAGGTGTAAAATGTTTGCATTACCTTCTGCAGAGAAGCACATGAGGATGACAAACACATACTCATGCATTCAGGACTTCTGCACTACATGGTCCGAGTGTGAGATTCTAAGTGCATGTTCTCAAACTCAGTGGAATGGCACATTTGCAGCAATTACTGTAGTTTATCACATAAAGGCACATCAGACAACAAAGAAAATGGGCAACCAGCAAGCACTAATATCAGGCGGCAATGCTGTTTAAGGAGAAATTGTACTGTAAGGAGCAACAGTAAAGGCTAAGTATCACAAGTGTTGGCCTGAGTCCAGACACTTAGGCTGTAACAAGGGTATCTGGGCGGTTAAGAATTCAAAACTACTCAGTAAAGCACCATATTAAAGTGCAGTTAAAGTAATGGGTTTTGACTATATGGCACTGAAATGGGCCCACACAATCTCACTTACCACTGCAGACAAGTGAATCATTATTATCTTCCCAATCCAGGTGACCTCTTGACGGTCGACAGGAGAGAAAATATCCACTGAAAAACACAAAAAGGTTTCATCCAAGTCAGGGGAGTTGAAAAAAAAGAAGTCTGGAATTGATAATGTATTCCTGCAGAAGGTGTTATCAGAGATAATCGACTGAATGGAACATGAGAATCAATGTGTGTGTCTGAGTGAAGGAGGAGGCGGATGTGTTTGGTTGTGTGTAAGGGTGGATGAATAACAGAGACGCTTTTTTTCTGGGCTCTGCTGCAGAAAAGTTTGGGAAGAGGGGTGGAGGGTGAAGCTGCTGCAACCTGTTGGCTCAAAGAGACAGAGAGAAAAAAAGAGAGAGGGAGAGAGGTGGGGAGTTACTGATGAGCTCTGACCCTGCGAGGAATGCATTGCTACTGTTCTCATTGCATGTGTTTCGTGCATCGAGCCAAGTTCTTACCCCAGGGTAATAGAATAAGCAGTTGGGTGAAAACAATGCTAAGGACCTCGAGATTAAGTCTGCCATCACCCATATTCATACTGTAAGCTGAATCTGACTAGTTTTGGAAATCCACCAAAAAATGCCCTGGATACACACAGACTTGCAGACAGAAGGCACCTCTTGAACAACCTCTATAAATAGTGACGGAAATAATATACAAGATTGGACTTATGAGTGACCCAGTCTTTTACTGCTGGTTTCATTTGGCTGTTCAAATAAAATAGTTTAATGGTGATTTACATTAAACTACATGTGCACACTACATCAACACAATATCCTCTTCACAATAGATAAACAAATAGGTAAAAAAGCATATGATAACACCAATAACACACAAGGTCATGTTTGAGCATGACCTCTGTAGTAAAGGTTTGTATACTCACACATAAAGACAACACAAATAGCTTGTTTAGCAAACACCGTCTGAAAACAGAAAGGAGAGGCAGGGTGATGAATCTGTCATGTTTTACTAGCTGCTCTCAGTAGGTGTGTTCCTCTCTCTGTGTTTCTGTGTGTCATGGGGCATTGGGTCACCTTTAATGGTGGACCCCAGGAATGTGGTGACTAGTTTATT